TATTTCTATTTATGATTGTTGAAAAAAATACATTGAAACACTTTAGACAATCATGTCAGAATTCCAGTTCATAATGTTTTTGAATTGAAATTTCAATGTCATCTAAATGTATTAACATTTCTGAAGCATGTACAAAACTACACACATAACCCTAACATATTTTTGTGTGTGTTACATTGTGTTACAATTCACAATACCAATGGAGAATAACATTTCTGTCGGATCATACATTATCAATGGTAATTTATGCTTGTCCGGAATAATTTAACCCTTTAATTATATAAGGAAGTACATAGCTTAGTTTCAAGAATGTGAATAAAAATTTTACAATACTTAAAAATCAAGACAATCAAACAAAAATTCGAATATAACAAATAAGAAGTCTTTGAAAAAATATATATCTATTGACAAGAAAGAACATGTTTAGGTAACTGTATCAACATATTCGACAAAAATATATAACAGAGAATAGAACTTGGTTACCATAGAAATATTCATATTTTTAATCATTATTTATTACCGATAATCTAACTAATTTTGAAATCTTTATCAAATAAGGTAATCTATTTACTACAACTCAAATAATAATGTACATACTAATTTTGTAAAGAGTTGAAAAGGATCTCAATAAAAAACGCCGACAAAAGTAACGAAACTTAGGTTTGATTAATAAAGAGGGTTATTGAAGATTATACTATTTGAAGCTCATATCTATAAATGGATGAAATGAAAGGATCTACTGATGTTAACAGTGTAAAAAATGTACACAGTAAATTATGCAACGAACTGAAACTCGAAATTACAAATAATATTTTTCAAATTCTGACCAGAATACAAAGTCTCTTCAACATTTCATGGTATCTGAAAGAAATATGAACCAACTACTGAATTAATATCACTATATGGGTTGATCAACGTACAGAATACTTAATTCTTTCTTTTATCAACTTTTGTAACTCCTACAAGGGGATTTGAAAACCGATATATGGTAGTGTGTTTTATGATGAAACTTTGTGACATGGTTTTGAATATCAGTGAAAATGTCAGTTTATTCAATGTTTCTAATGCCTCTTACTGATGAGTGATAACTAAGATGACATTGGAGCCATTTACCTCCAGCTTCAAATTTGTATTACAGTAGCAAAAGCCTGTTTAATTTTAAATTCAATCTCCAAAATTCAAAATACAAGTAGGTGAAATTATTTCACATCTAAATTAAAATTCATAAAACTCTAATTCTTGATGTACTTATCTTTATTCAGTCAAATTTCGGCATAACTCTAATAAACAAGATGTTTGTTATAAAGAGCACTTCAAATCTCGAAATTCTTATCTACATACTGATCGCTGCCAGTAAAGTGATGTATATTTTTCCTCCTTGATCATAACAAGAGACTTGGTTATGGTAAACTTTAGAGAAAATATCTTAAATTTGGATGAACTGAATAACTAGTCAATAGAAAATGATAACAAATTTCTGGTATTTAAATGTAAGATATATTGGGAATTATAAACTAAATTAATAGTAGTGTCGTTTAGTAGTATCATGTTTATACAAATATGAAATTAGATAAAGATGATTAAACTCAAGCCATCTGTTAAGCTGGTAAGATGAAAAATCCATCAGCATGAGTGTTTGCAGAAAAAGAACTAGAGTCTAAGTATACAAACATTCCTTATTCAAAAGGACCAATAGTTTCCAAACTTTCAAGAAATAAAAGGCCGAAAAAAGAGATTTCATGAAAGAAATCATGGTGAATGATAACAATTTTCAATAATCATCACATAAGAAAATCCATGTCAACTAAAATAACAACATTGTTCAACAAATGTTTTGCCATAATGATCTTGTAGTGTCTCAATCACAGTTAAAGACGAAAACTATTTGAATATACATTCTAACTATATTTGTCAAAATGATCGAACAGCAAAATGAAACATCATGTAAAATCGAACTTATAAAAATACGTACTTACTTTTAGTATAGAACAGAAAAGTGAACAGGATCAGCAAAAGTAAACATGGGTTATTCATGAATTTCATGTTTATCAATAATGATAAAATGAAGATATATATCAATTATCCACAAACTCTCAGAATAACTAGAATTACGAGTAATACTTGAAATAGTATTATTATCCAAAATAAATCTTTTTTCCCCTTATGATAATGTATGTATCCTAGTAACTTAGTGATTCCATGGTGATGATGTCATGAATCAGTTCTGTGGCGATGATGATTATGATAATGACAATATTTTCATCAATTTATTAAATCATATCAATGAAAGATGTTCAGGATAAATTTTTATCATTGGTTGTCGATAATCATGTATAGTGAATATCTACAATGCAAATGAGGTACATTATATATATATATATATATATATATATATATATATATATGTTTTATGCGCAAAAACGTGTGCTTAATCCATATAAATCCATGTTTATATATGCATATAACAAGTAAAACAATGTTATTAATACTAAATGACTAATTTGAACGACATAACAAAATAAGAAATTTAAATATTTTAATTCTTTTCAAATTAGAATTTTATAATCAAATATTCAATGTTGAGTTATATAATCTATAGAATTTATATATGAAAGTGAACAATGTAATCGATTGTATTTGTAAAATCTCAACGAAAGAATTTGAAGTAAATACAACGTTTTGCCTGGCAATCTGGTCCTAGCTTTTTGAAGGAAGTCGCTATATCTGGTCATCGCAGATTGTTGTCTCGGAAAAACGCTGATCACTTATACTCGGTACGAGGGATCTCTACAATTCCCACGACGCGAAACTAAGAACATAAAGACTGAAGATTTATTAACCTCAAAACACTATGACGACAACGACCCTAGTAAAAAATACACTCATTTATATATTGATTGTACACCCATTTCGATTAATCATTAGGATGAAATCACATATATGAAAAATACTTCAAGTTATTACAAATCACATATAGAGAATAGTTCATGTCAATTAAATACAAGAATATCTTATAATAATACAGAATAAAATATCATCCGAGAAAAGACAATAGATACTACATTGAGTAATCATCAGATTGACTCAGAATGGAAGTAATGTTGAACCAAAACTCATAATGAGTAAATTAATCGAATATCGACTTTTCTTTCCATCATATCAGAATTATATATTTCCTATATTTCCTATATATATCCCACAAGATCCTGTGGCCCATATGTACCATTGGTTTGGAATCAGGGTTTTCCAACTACCCTAAATGGATCCTTCTCAGCCAAATATTTATTTACTTGAAACAGCTTGAACCAGATTGCCAGACTAAACTTTGGATTTACTTCGAATTCTTTCGCAAAGATTTTACAAATACATTCTTTCTCTTTAATGTCTCACATCAGCTCGGCGCCCAAATACTGTGAAACTATTTGATCAAATTTAGACGAAAGTTTTTATTTATTATTCTGTCATGTAATAGATTTCTGAAATAATATCGCATTCGTTTCTACTTGTTATGTTGGCTAGTTTACCATATGGAAGCATGATATTTAACAAACAATATTAATGTATTTAATAGTACAGTTTCTATTTAATTGTAAGATGAATATTATAGGGGTATCCCTTATCCTAGTATCTACTACCTTTAAGTGCATGATTTCCATTATTCAAATATATACATTTTCTGATGAAGTTTATCGCTTCAATAAAAACGGAATAAAGCAGAATAAAGAATGGAATCAGGGTTTTCTAACTCCTCTAGATGGATTCTCCTCAACTACCAACCCGATTAAACCGTCGGACATTCGCCACGAGAAGGCAATGAGTAAGACTTCTATGACAGTGGTTGTATGCACGTGGCCACGTGAGAGTATTTCGAGAGGGTGAGCTGACTCTCCCCACTCTCGGCCGTACCAAGGCATTTAGTGGCAGTACCAGGGCATTTGGGGGCTATTATTTATTAAAATAAAGACAGTTCAGAGAACAAATATCTTTTTTTTACCATGTTATTTTCTCGAGTATATGATTTAAATAGCAAATTATAGTAACCACTCATAAGGTTAGTACAAATTCATCAAATTATTTTCTATTGTCTGAAATCAGTTATGTAATAGTTGAAGTGCAATAATGAGGTAAAATAAAAAAATGACATATGAAAGAGATATGAAAAATAACTGACAAGTTTAAATAAGTGACGGGACCAGGATAACTGTATATACAGCTCCAGAAAATTATATCACTGGACTGTAATTTACTCAAGGACGTAATTGGTTTTTTCTTTATGTTATGTGGTGTTTATTTTCACATTTTTGATTGTACCGATCTCTTTTTATTAGCGTAAATTTACCACTTCATGTCAACTATTTCATATCCTTTTTTCCTAAACGGAGAGGTTGGTGGTTCGAGCCCATCCCGAGGTTGCAGAGATATCTAACGCCAAATACAATCAGCGTCACTGATGACTTCATCTTGCATACACTAATATGAAAGCAATCCACTCAGGACCCCCATCGAGCCATAGAAACTAACAACTACCTGTATATTAAGTAAAAGTGTATACATTTTTTATAAGTACGTATACAATTCGTTAGTATAATTAGTAAAGGATAATGTACTGCTTATTAGAGTGAAATTAATTAAAGAAAGGTTTTGATCTTGTGTTTCACATAGTAACGGATTCATTTCATTTAATGGAGATACTGCTTGTGAAACTGTCTAGAGATCATTTCTAAAGATAGAATTCATGTAATATACTGTGGTCACCCTGCTATATCTTTGCATGAGAAAGATAAGTTGTTATAACTGACCAGTTCAATGTTCATGTACACTGACACGTTAAGAATATTATTTGACCTAAATTTTAATACAGCACATTTTCTACTTTCCAGAGTACTTCGAAAGGAGGAGCTGACTCGCGTTACCCTCAGCCGTACCAGGGCATTTGTGGACGTAATTAAGTTAGCCTGAAATTCACTTTCGTATTAGTTAAACTCATTGTAAATAACAACTGAAATAGTGAAATTGTAATTTATTCAATAAAAATATATCTCGTAAATTAAGAAAGTAATGTGTTCTATGTAACATGAAGCATAGGAACTTGTATTTAAACTACGTAATAGTTCACACTGTAAATGAACATCAGTATGTCAGTATAATAAGAAACATAACAACATGGCATTATTTAATGGTAATCCAATCAAAAAACATTGGTATTATTTCTCCATTTTCTTTCAAATATATTTCACATATACTTTGTAGAAAATAAACATAGATAAGAACAGTTAGGTTTTATTTTAATTACCGTACTTTTTTATATTTTAGAAATTATGCAAAACTGGGCAATTAACCCTTGTGTATACACCATCTGCATAAACAGCTCAAGGAAAAAAACGGTGAACATCGAGGAAGAAGTCGTATAATTTTTTTAAAAAAAGTAAAAATTTAGAAAACAGAGAGAATTTCTAGTTTAAATATAATTACATTTAATATGATCGTAAGTTTTAAGGGAAAAATAGATGGAAGAACATTTTACTTCTCTAAAATAAAAAAAACACTACAAATTGGAATGCAAATTACAAACATTTGGAGATGGAAAGAAAGAGAGATTCGTGAAAGTTTTATCGTAATTAAGATCTTACGAATGTCATCGTTTAAAATAGTTTTCAATGAATAATAATAATAATAATAGTAACAATAATAATAATAATAGTGATGATTATTCTAATTATTATAAAACGATTTTTTCTCTCACAATATATGTATGTAATTAAGAAGCAAGCTGAGAATATGAACAAATGTTACTGCCGAAAGAGCAGAAAGTGATGCATGCTTTTCAAGATAGATTCTTATATATTATGAAAAATATATTTTACGAAATCTTTATAAGAAATGATGAACAGATATATTTATTACATCATTAAGCAGCATCCTAGCATGGGATACAATGGACATCTAGGATGAAGCTGAACAATCTAAACACACAACAACAAATGTAGAAGACGACCAGTGTATCAGCAGTAGCTCTCAACATACACAAAGGAAAAAGCAAGATTCTCTGATAAAATACAACATGCATCAATCAAATAACACTTGATGGAGAAGCTTTGGAGGATGTACAAATCTTTACATATCTGAGCAGTATCATTTATGAACTTGGTGGGTCTGATGCAGATGTGAAAGCGCGGACCAGAAAAACAAGAGCAGCATATCTACAATCGAAGAACATCTCGAACTCAAAACAAATGTCTGTCAACCAACACCAAGCTCAGAATTTTCAAAACAAATGTCAAGACAGTTCTACTGTATGGGGGGAACTTGGAGAACTACAAAAGCTATCATCCAAAAGATACAAGTATTTAATAACAGTCGTTAGCGCAAAATACTTCGGATCCGTTGGCCAGACACTATCAGCAACAACCTACTGTGGGAGAGAACAAACCAGATTCCAGCGGAGGAAGAAATCAGGAAAAAGCGCTGTAAGCACCCAAATGCGTCACAAGGCAAACTCTCAAGACCAAAGAACAAATTACACCTAGAAATAAAGACAAACATGAGAAGAATGAACAACAATTGGATAGAACTAGAAAGGAAGGCCCAGGATAGAGTGGATTGGAGAATGCTGGTCGGCTGTCTATGCTCCATTGGGAGTAACAGGCCTAAGTCAGATCATATGCTTATAGAATGGTAAAATGTTAGTTGAATGACAACAACTAATTACATTTTACAAGCTAGTGTGTATTGGATATCGGAACAATGAAATGGATTTTTAACAATAACTTAGAGATAAAACAGAATGAATCTGTATAAACTGTTGTACATGCTTGGTGTAAAGATGCCAGAACTATTTTAATCCTGAAAAAATCATCTCAATGTTGTAAGAAAATTCTAAAATTATTGGAATCTTTGTATATACAAATCAATTGATCAGAACTGGCAGTTGCATAACTGTATATTGTAAGTTATTTTAGAAGATAAATTTCATTCCTTATTAAAATAGCCATCAAAAATTGCATAGTGACTTAAAGACCTTGAAATATTCAAATAAGATCTGTCAATGATATAAAAGTATACTGTTTTGAACTGATTATATAACTCGTTACGATAATCCAGAGAAAAACTGGAATTTCAAAATTCCAGCTTTAGTAATGTGTGATTAATGTTGGTAACAGTTGGGGGAATTTGGTTGAAGTTATTTGCAACTATCCGAATATAGTCCAGGCCAAAATCCCAGATGAGAAACACAAAATGAAAATTACATGCTAATATCTATCGTTCGCCTACTAAAATGAACGGAAAAATAGCCGGAACTGCTGGATTTGATACACTTAATGAACATTGAAAACGTTGAGGTTTGATGTGCCCTCACTTTCATTCATGTAGTCGGATCTATAAAGCCAGACATATTTTTCAAAAAGGTAATGTGATAGGTTGAATTGATCAGACATATCAGTTCACGATCAAATGATGAGAGCTGTTAATGAGTGAAAGCCATTGGTTAAGATTTAGTTGAATTATTCGAGGTTGACAGATATACGCTATTGACTAAAAGTTTGACTCGAATTTCCATATCAATGAATAAACGTGTGTATATATTTCTATTCGGGTTAGTCACTAAAAGCTTTCTATTTGTGTTTGATTTCCGTACTCAAATATCTGGTTATACTCTTATATCGAAATTATATATATCAAAATTAAACCACAACGACTGCTTAACAACAAAAGAGATGATCTCGACCTAAAATTTCAACTGCATTCTACAATTTATATACAATAATAAATGAGTATTATTTGGAATAATGATAAAAACACTGAAAAGCTTCAATTATACCAAATAAAATTATTGAAATATTGATGGAGAAAAAATGATAATGAAAAGAGAGAGAAAGATAGAAGAAAAAACACATCTGATAAATGAATGAATACATATAGTATGTTAGGAAAAATTAGCTTTTAAGAAATGAATTTACAATATATGATACTTTCTTGTCTTGATAATGATAAAATTATCAAAACCATATAAAGTTGGTGAATACAATGACATTGACAACAATAACAAACATATAAAGTATACAATACTTGAAAGACTTTAGGATAGAATTAGTGATCTGAACTAATCATTCATAGATAGAATACACAAATATACAGAACGTGTAATGTTGTGTGAAAATAATTTAGCTGTTTTCCCTTACTTAGTTTCTGGTAAATTTTATTTAATAAATAAGTGGATTGATTATAATGGAAATACAAAATAATTGTGTTTTAACTCAACCAAATGATGTAAGTGAATGATAATCTTTTAATCTTATTTAACAAGAAGATAGTAGTATGACAAAATTGAACATCTAAATAAAATAAAGCATAACATCTTACGGTAGGAATATTTACTAATAAAAAGTAAACAAAAAATTAAAAAGAAAACAAAACAAAAGGGATAAACACAAATGGAATTATGATATTAATCTGTTGAACCGGGTTTTAATGGAAATAAATATGTCATGATAAACATACAAATATCTGCATTAGTCCAATAGCTAGTATGTGAAGTCAATAGAGAAATGTACATATTTTCATAACGTGATACTTGTAATTCAAAATCTAATCGACATTCAAGTTGTAACGGTTCATAACAACATAAATCATTTTCAAATAAATCATTAGATGATAATGATGAAGTAAGTGAATCTGTTGTTTTTTGATCTTTTTTATTTGTAGAATTACAAAACTCAGAACATTTCTCTATAGAATTAATTTTCTCATCATTGTCATGGTTAGATATTTTTTCGGAAAGAGTAAGATCGATTCCTCCTGTTTCTTGACTTCCACCAGGTAAATATGGTGCTCGTGAGAAGAAACCAAATAATCGACCTATTTTAATATACGTAAAAAAGGTAAATTAAGAGTTTAAAACAAAAAAATAAGAAGGAATAAAGTCTATAGTTTACCATTAAAAAGTTTTGAGTTATCCCATTTTTGATATTTTTGGTTCGATTTTAATCGGTCTTGGTTAGCACATGTTAATTCTTAGCGAATTACCTCAATATAGCCATTTTCACAAGTATATAAGTCGCAAATAGGACCAAATGTGCGTCCTGAATTCCATTACTAGCCACAGTTCATTCATTCTATAAAAATATGTATGGAAAACGGCAATTCGAACAAGATTGATCAAGAATACTAACATCGGGATAACTCCATCTTCTGCAAAAATGATATAAATATTATACCCGTTATACAAGTGAGTGGTTATCTGAACTCAGTAGCTAAGTTGATGACACACTGACGCCTTAAGAGAAATGCACTGTTGTTCAAGTCTCGATGTGAACATCAACAGTGCAATGCAGGTATTCCCAGCTGACGAGTCCCAAATAAGACGAAACGTGCGTCCAGGATCCGACTATTAGCCACAATCCACCTGTTTAAGGTTTATTTTTAGAATCATATAGAATGTAAATCCTCTGAATGAAATACGTAAAAGCTATGTACACCATATTTACGAACTCGGAATACACAGAGATTAAACTAGTGTATATTGTAACCATAAGACACCTTAAAGTTCTTGTATTAGGCGAAAATTAGGACAGAATAATGTAAATGATTGAAGTTGTGAGTCTACTGGACACAAACAGCTTATTGTTTGTCAAAATAATTAACACTATTTCGTTTCCTCTATTGTTGCTGAAGATAAGCCTATTTGAATCGGACACGATATACATTGGTTGTTTTTAAGAGTGGTAAAAAATACTTAAATAAATTTATGACATAGACAGTTGCTAAAAATTTGTATCGACTTATGAACAACTCTCTATATTGAAACCGAGCGACTTAAAGAAACTTCTTGGCATAAGATAAGAACTCTAGCAAACGGGTATGATATCCATGCACAAAGAGAAATTATGAGTGACTAGAAAAAAGAAGTTATAGAGTATATTTCAGCTGATATCAAGTGCAGATAAGATTTTGTATCCGTTTGGTTGAATAATAAAGGGTGGATGCTTAGGCTAACAAGATAAATAATTTTCTAACGAAAGGCAGAATTGATAAGTCTTGCGATTTTGAACGCTATACTCGATTCCTAAGCTATTCTTGAAACCCCCAAGCTAGAACTATACAGCGACCTGAACACGAGAGAGAAGGCCCAAAGTTTGCGAAAAGTACTTTTCTCCAAGGTTCATTCTAATACAGAAAACAGAGGGTTTTTATAATATTCTAAATGTCCTTGGGTTGCTCGAAGATTCTGGAATGCTACCAGACATAATAGCGGTATAACAATCAACTAATCAGAACCTCTACATGTGACGTTTCTCACCCTTGACGTTTTCTGGCTAAACTCCAAGTGAACGGTGATTTGATGAAATGCTTCTTAATGCTTCCTGAACCTTGCCTGTCTTTTGCGAGAATTTTTCTGGATCATCCCAACAAGAATTATGTATGCCATTTAGTCAGTCGACTCCTAGTGTTGTTGAGGTGTTGGACCAGACATAAAAGATCCTATGAAGTCAGTTATGTCAAATGAGGTCCTAGGAATGATTGAGAGGTATGTCGTGTTGGCATTTATGGGCACATCAAAACTTTCTAGATTAGATTCTGGAATTTACGCAATTTTGTGGCTTGAAAATCTGTCAGTGGAGATCATTTAGTAGTTTCCTTTCATGTTCTGTGATATTACCACATTTCTACTCGTGATAGGTAGGTCAGAAAGTCAGTATGTTTAGCATTTGATGCCCAGGTATAATAGAAAGCTAACAAACATACTTAATCGGCGTCAGCCGAAGATAAAACTCATATATAAAAACTAAACTAGAATTTCAAGTTTACCAATGAATAAAATATAAAATCTAAAATTATTCATAGTCCAGTTATTATTTTTCCTTATTAACTTACTAGCAATCGATGAACGTCTAGAGGAATCTGCATCTTGTGTGGTTATAAGGTGATTCGTATCTGAGCAAGGGTTTTTCTCTACTTGTTGATGCTAAGACAAAAACAATCAGTGATGTAAACAAGTTGCGAAACTTTTTAAACAAAATTTATTTAAAATAAAGTTATTACGCAAGCAAAAATAGTATATTTGTAAAGTTCAGCAACTTTTGGAGGTTAGACTATTTATCGTGGATGTTATAGAATACTAAATGTGACTGATATCTATAGTCAAAGTAACCTTCGATTTGCCAAGAAGTAACGACAAGCATATCCGGTTACATTAAACATAAAACATCATATCGTAGAATTCGTTCTATAACAATTTCTCTAACTGTTTACTTTGTACTTTATGTTAATATACTCCTTCGGTTGTAATATCTACCTCTCTATCGAACAGTCGGATTTAAGTGACTGTACTATTAAATGTCTAGAATGAAACGATTTCTATTATAGCGATGACAAACAACGAATATTGGATTCACATAGCAATCTGCAGAGACGTATAATTATTATGCAGTCAATCAGCCGATCAATTAATCAATGAGTATTTGGTAATAATCATTACTGACTTACACAATTTTGTGGTTTTGGATGTTTGAATTCTTTACCAGAATATTCAAGCAAAGGAAGTGTGTCATAGCATGGTTTTGAAACAGCGTCAACTCGATGAATCAGAGCTGGTTGGATGGTGGAATAATATTTTAAAATTAATGGTTCTAAACGATAAGCCTTAAATAAGTGAGAAATGAGAGAGAAAAATAGAAAGATTATAAAGTCGTAAAAACTATTTTATAAAACTATTAGACAGAAATCACTGACGACACAGATCTGCTCTTTTTAGTTTAACTATATAGTTTAACATGTCTCTTAAACGAGGAAGCATATTGTTACATAATTAGATACAAATACATATAAATTGGATATGATTGAAGTTTGGATAACTTTTGCTAAATAACTTCAATTTTATTCTAAATGAATTCATCTTCAAAAATGATACTAATATACGTGTATGGAGTGGATATAGTAGGTTTAGTAGGTAAACCAAATAAATACAAATACTGTTGTTGACTTAGTAGTCTAAAGGTTAAGTGTATGCCGCGAAACCTTAAGGTGCTTGGCTTGATTCCTGGTGGGGTCATGAGTATGAACTGTTGAAGAGTACTGTCCTAAAACGAAACAACTGTCCAATACTTACTAGCTCTTAATGGTTGTCTAACTGATATTGTTTCGCAGTGTAAGCCATTAAATACTGTTGCTGATATCCGCAATCCTTCTTCTGATAAACCATACTATAGTTGCATGAATATAACAATATTTACATGGTTTATTCAAAACAAAAATAAACAGATAGTAGTGTAATATAGATTCTTCATATGACAAATGAACAGTTTGTTCAGACAATATAAACAATGGAGAGTACTGATAAACTTTTGTACTTGAACGCTTAGACACTGACTTCCAAGTCCCCAGAAATCTTCTGATCTCTAACTCCAAGAATGAAAAACAAGTGCAAAATATGGATTGAGCTTTACTTCCAAGATTGGTTTGTTTATAAAATGCAGGTGTAATCATAATATACGACCCTGAGATTCCACAAGTTCCCAGAATCATGTTCAAATAAGTAACAAAATTGGTTATTATTCAGGCAGATAATGATGACTTAATCCACCGTCTTCTAAGGGACGCTGACTGGCCGAAGTATTTTTAGAATTTCTTCGGCTTCTGAAAACGTTCTTTAGAAATTATAAAAAAAGGCCTTTAACAAAAGTCAACGTACTACGCACTATTATTATTTATTTTAGAAAAATCAATTAAATTGCCTTTTTCTCAGAGCACATGACTCGAATATTTTATTGCCAAATGTGTTTAAGAAAGCAGACAATGTATCTGTTATTATAACGTTGACAAAAACTGTCAAATGATTAACAAGGCACTAATGACTGACAACAATTTTGGCTAGAAAAAAGACTAAAATTAAGTGATCAACATCTCGTTTATCTAAGGTGATCATAACAATCTTAATGTATTAACAAACTACGAATGGAATATAAGTACTTTTCTAATAAACATTTTTATCTTCATTATAATGGTAAATTTAATTTTTATAACTAAGTGATGTAAACTAAATCCTGTTTTTCTGGGTGTATTCGTTGTTACTCCTAGGAGTAGATTGTCAAAACAACTCGTACATATGAACATATTTTTGGCTTTTATTCTAACACAGGGTAGTAAACTTATACATTTTAATTATATATAGTTTTTCTTGAATACTTCCAAGTAAAACGCAACTTATAATATTAAAAACAAATATTACTTACTACAGGATCTGCTGGGTGGTAAATGTTAAAAATCCGGGGACAAATTTTTCGAGGAAGTATTGAGTCCTGAGTTTGAAAAGGACCAGGGCGGATACCACGCAAAACTAAGTACACGCCCAAAGGTGAGCCCAAGCAGAAAAGGTTTTCTAGCTATAGAACAGTGTATATAAGGATTAAGTAATGTGTGCTGAAATACTATCCGGTTGGAAAATGAACATGTATAGAGAAATAACAATGATAATCGCTGTGGTATGAAATAACTGTTTTGTCTTAGTTTAAGGCTTACCAGCATCGTTTATTTGGGAGCTTATACAGAATCAAGACTGGCGATAAAGGTTTTGTTATATTACAAATTGACTGAGTGCAAAAATACAAATCATTGAATTCCACCTTAGTGACCTAAAAGGCATCGCGTACTCAATGGTTAAAGCCCTTGTGAAGTCGTGAATTCGTTTGGGTGAGAAATTCGAAAGTACTTGGAATGCACCTTTATGATGATGAAACGTCATAACTTTAATTAATCACAGGGCATTCATAACACAATAATAACATACTGAAATAAATTATCATGAATAAAACTCCTTTCATGAGCCATTCTACAGATTCTTTGAAATCTCGGTTAATATCCTTTCAATGTCGGATGACAGTTCTAGTTGTCAGTGTCTAGACCTAATAAGTACATGCAAGTTTCGGTTGGTTTATTTCAATATGCAATAAATTAATAAAAAATAAAACATGAATAAGACTGTCAAATCAAAAAGATTTCGATCTTTTAGTCTACATAAAACACTAGGTCATGTAAAGAGATAATCAGAAATAATAAAATAATAAGAGATTTAATATTGCTACAGCTTACTGTTGTTAGCAATCTACCAGCTTCAAATGACTTTGTAGCTCAAATTTTATATAAGCTAATAATGTTATTTTACAACTACTACAAACAGAAGAAACTTAGTGTCATGATAACTCATCGAGTTACCAACACCGGGACCATAAACAGGTGAACTCGTTACAATATAGATAAACTTTGTTAATTTAATAGATCTTCTAGTCAATAATACTGAGTGATCAAACAATAGAATAAATAGAAAATTAAATTGAATAATATTCTGAAAACATGAGTATGGTAAAACATCATTTCAGAGAAAATAAAACTGCACATATTCAGACGACACATTCCATTATCAACAGGAAGACAATGAATAATAATTGAAAGTCAGAGGAGAAATCCGATTTAAGGATCCTCGAAAAGTAGTGCAATTATTAGCGAGATTGCAGTGTAGCTGTTTAGACACAACCAACGTCATATATGTATATTATCTTAAACATCGTAGACAGTAAAGTGAACATAGTGAAACTTACATTATCCGCAAACAATAAAGGATTCTGTTGATGTAGTGAAGAGTTTGGGTAACATACTGAAGGTTTACTATATACTGACTGGTCGTCCTGATGATTATTACTAACATTTGACTTCTGAGAATCACAATTCATGTGATTGTCACGAGTAAATAGTAAGCTGCTTAATTCCTGTTCTAAATTATTCACCCTGCATAATACATTTTGGAAAAAAAACGTTGACGACATTTTAGTACATAACAGATGAAGAGCATTTTAATGACATACACAGGTCTTGTCAGAATGATTACCAATGTCCAAAACTTACACCAAAACTAACAGTTATAGACGACAGTGGATCCACACTGCTGAGAAGTCCCATACTAGGACGAGACGGCCATCCAGTGCTCCCAGTTCCCTACTGGTGTTCTAACTTAAATCGTTTCATGATATGCAAGAATTTCCGCAACTCTATACTGAAAATATTATATAAATTAAACATTTACTGTTATTTAAGAATAAATAAGTATTGACCGACTATCGAGTATAGTTAGGCTCCAGATACAAAAAAGGAAATTTGGTTGAACAGATGATGACCAATGGTGGGTTCTAAAAGTTTAATGGGTCTATTTTAGAATAAAAGTGTACAGAATTATGTATTCCCAAACAGAGAGGCCCCCAAAAGCCCTGGTACGGCCGAGAGTGGGGAGAGTCAGCTCTCGCTCTCCAAATGCTCTCACATGGTCACGTGCACACAACTACTGCCAGGGAGGTCCTACTCACTGTCTTCTCCTGATGGGGGTGTTGTTTACGAAATTGAGAGGACGGATTATCGAGGGACGTAGTGTTCGGTGTATTAACTATATCGTCACTAACCGCTGCTCGTTAACTTCCATGCTAATCAACACAGCACATAGGAGTAGGGTTTCGCTAACTATCCATCTTTTTACGAACTGCAATTTGGGTTCATTATAAAATAAAAGCATCACTAGTACCATTTTTGACAACCACACTTTGAATTGATACAATAAAATTATGTACTTATCAAAGTAATATGTTGGCTATAACTCTTCAAACTTTAAATGAATTAGATTAAATATAACTATTTTAGAAATGCTATCATCTACAACTGACAATCAGTAAACAATTGAAAAATGAATTTGAAAATTCAACAGTTGGTTGAACCTTCATGAAGCTAAAAACTAAAAGAAAAAAGAAATCAATAATCTCGATAATGCAATGAAAAGACGAAGTTTATCAGAATTATGTGATATATTTGAGCAATACATTTCGAACAATCTGATCACACATATACTTGTTAAGAACATTTATATATGAAAATTAAAAGGTCAACTAATACAAAGTCATATTTTTAGTTAAAGTATTCACTATTAATTGAATTAAAAACTTTTTATACATGTGAATTCCTAGTTCAATTTAAAAACCATGCTCATGTGCAAGGAAATTTCTATAAATTTGCCGGAATTAAATATTTCATAAGATCAGAATTGATTTCCGTAGTGAATGGAAAATCTGTTTTAGGTCTATAAGTTGTGTACAATATTCGAAAACATGAAATTCATCACAGTAAATAGTTGAGGTGCCAGAACTGTGACAGCATTATAAATTTTTGGAAAAAAAATCAAGGGTTTCTTATACGGTATTTATTATACACTGAAATTCGCATTTCTCAGTAAACTGAGGAAGGCTAATTCGTTAAATACATCAAACCAAAAATCTAACACAAGCACTCACAATGTCCTTGCAGTTTCCAACCGAATATTAACACGAGCAATTTGTTCCAAGTTTCCATTAGACGACAGTCTATGGTCAGGATATAGCACATTCAAGTTATTGTTTGATAAAGTCTGAGAATAGGTACAAGAAACAAAACAAATGATTTAAGCATAATCGAGTTTCACTTTGTTGTTTAAAGGTTGAAAAGCTCTGATTTATTTAGTCATGCAGGTTTAGGAGTTACAAAAGATAAATAACTTGAATGTATCTTGTTACTAAGACGGCAAAAATTACGGCATAATCTTTTAGTCATAATTAATGTAGGACCTAAAGAGAACATCCAGTAGTCTAAGCCGCAACAACTCTGTATGGAGCCTGTCCAGGGGTCGGGTAAATAAAGTATGGATGGATATGGGGTTAGCAGACTCACCTTTGAAAAAACCCGTTGCAGAAGCGCTAACCAGAGAAAACCGAATAATCTCTGCCTTGGAAGAAGTCTCCATACAAAAGAGTTAAGACACCTTATGTCCGCTGCCACTGTAATAAGGATGAGTAGTTAGATACACATACCTTTCCTACCAAAACCACATTCCTAAGCCTCAACACTACCCACTCCGTGGGTTTATTATATGGGAGCAATGCTTCAAAGATGCTTGTAACCAAATACTAGCAAACTGAGCATGTGTTCTACTTTCATAAGTTATATTCAACAACAATGTGATACGGAGCAGACTGGTCTGTTTGGTCTGAATTGGGAGTATGGTTTGTGATATGATGGGAAGAAAAATCAATATTCAATTGATTTATTTAATATGAGTTTTATTCATCATTACATCCTTTTGATTCAATGTAATGATTACGCAATGTAATATTTCTTCGCTTTTCTCGTATGATATTTTATTCTGTATAATATACAATATTCTTGTATTCCATTGACTATGAACTATACTCAGCATATGATTTGTTATAACTGTGAGTATTTTTCATGTATGTGATTTTATTCTTCTAATTATTAATCAAAAACGGGTGTACAATCAATATATAAACGAGTATATACACTCCTCAATTCAAGCCTGGACTTCTCCCTCTAGATAGTGGGGCTGGGGTGCAGCAATAGCTAGCTCACTGGTCTTAGTCATCGAATTTCGTTCTCGTTCACAAATCTAAGTGAACTCGTTAAGCTTCAAACCTGACAGTTTGAAAAGTCAGAAAGAAAATATTTGTATGGAGGAGCACTGGAGCTTAAGATTCAGAGATAAATAAAGGATTAATGCATCTGTGCCACTGCAACTAATTCGGCGCTGTTACCCGTCTACAACCATTAACCGAGGTTATTTTACGAACACCAGACAGCTAGTTTGAATACAATAACATGGATCAGACCAGTAATCAGTGACTCTATGGACTGATGTCACGTTTTGGATTGGCCACCACTAGCTTTCTTCCAACTTTCTCCATCACCATCCAACATGCCAAGGAAGTGGTTCCAGATAAGTCATACGTGTCCTAGCCATTTCAGTCGATGATGGTTGACAATATGATCAATCGATTAGCCATATTTGGGTATTACTACCCTGAATCTAACTTCAACATTGCTCATTCGGTTATCCTAACAAGTTCGAGCTATCCTTCAATGATACTTACGAACAAATACTTCAGTTTTCGAAGGCAATATTTTAAAAAGCTGGAACTCAAATATAGTTGCAACTACAGACCTATAGTAACAACGTTCTATGGTTTACACAACATGAGATTCACCACATTATTAATGGAGTGAAAATGACATAACGATGTTAAGTATAGCTCACCTTATCCGTAATATTTGACAATTTTGTGGAAGCTGAATGGAAAAAAATATTTTTATCAGTTGATTTATTTAATAAGATTTCAGTTAATGGATCATTATCAGGGACTTGATTCCAGCCAGTAATTAGATCGTAAACTAGGACACATCCAAGAGAATGAGCAATTATTGAAACTTTTCCGCCTCGAGATTCAAAATCAGGATTCAACCGACGAAACATATCATATAACCTATTGAGTTCACTTTTTAAACTGCAAATAATTTCAGCTCGATACAGAGGGCTAGTATAATACATAATATCCATAGCAGAACTATTCAGAACTGTACGAAGTCCTCGAAGATGAACAGGAGTGATTGATTCAACTGTATTACCGTCTAACTGTAAAACAGTTCGCCATTCAACAGGTAAAAATTCTACACGTTTATTTTCTTTATCCAAATGTGAAAAGTAACGAGTTTTTATTTTATCACAAGTATCACGAAGCCTTTAAAATACAAGAGTGATAGTAAGTTAAATAAAATAAATGTTATAACCAAATGTAGAAAATACATTTATTTACATAAATCAAAGTTTGTAATTCAGACGTCTCCTCTAGATCAATGAATCTGGATAGAAAATAGTCAAACACCATACAACTTGTGACTGCTAACACGTAAACAAAACTGCACACAGCCAAGTTGAAGTTTTAAAAATACTATAGTAAATACGAAATCGCTCAATATGAAACCATGTGAAATTAGATTTGAAAGTTTTATGCAATAACAACCTAAACTATTAACATTTAATCCATCCAAGGGATTTATTAACTACTATTTAATTTCAATCTTGATAGTAAAGTGGAGTTTGAATAAATACTCCAACTAACAAGTAGACTGTAATGGACATTAGATACCCACTCAAACAGATACCTTGATGATAAAGGAAACATGCAAAACCTTGTCAATAATGCGAATATTAGTCATAATTGTAATAGTTAAATAATAACCTTTCATTGATAAGTCGTTCAGATAGAATTATAAATTTAACAGAAAGATAAGTACAAAGAAGCAGTAACTAATCGATGACTGAATAATGAATAAAATTAACAAAAGTAAAGTATTTCATTGACCGAAGAGATATTCACGTAGAAAACATAATTAATATGGTGCTTTCTGATCAGTTTGTATAGCTTTTAAAAAATAAAACTCACCAACATAATTCTTTGAAAATGTAGTAAACAGGTTAATTGTGTACGTAGTACACAAGAATAAGAGCAGCCAAAAAATAGGCATAAACAAACTTTTCCACTATGTAATACGCTATTGTATTATGGAAGTATCTTGTACAAGTTACTTTGCCTTTGAACGACATCAGTGTTTTGAGCACTGATATGAATACTTCTTTAAGAATACTAACAGTATGAAAAAGTGTAGACATCATGTGAACAAATAAACAAAATAGAAATATACCTGTCTCAAACTACAAGACTACCACATTAATATTAAAATATATGTCATGCATCGATCTACATACAAACACAATAATATCAAACTAATGAAGAATATAAAACCCTATTTGGTTCTTTGTACAAGAGAAATGAGAATAGACTTTAACCGAGAAGGTAGGAGGGAAAGGAAGGTCGATAGCAAAGTATTAAACTATCAGAAGATTGGAGAGAGTAGCCACCACCAAGCATTATACTGTTTCATTGAAATCATGAGCCGATCTAATTTTGACCACCATCAAAAACTTAGATGGCAGTTTCGTCCCAGTATGGGACTCCTCAGCAGAGCACATTTACGACCCCACACGCGGTAATTGAAGTCAGGACCTTCGATCTCGAGAGCGAAAAATTAACTTCTGGACTACTGAGTCAGTATCCAACAGTTTACGAATTCAATGGAATTCAACAGTCGCACAACCTCATGCTGATATTATACTGTTATTTACTTTCATGTGCACCGTATGCTCCTTCTTAATCTCAAGTTTTAACAACATAATGCTAAGTATCATGTGTTTAACTGTATTGGGTAGAATTATATTACGGAGAGACCAAGATAACCAAATCTGTGTAATAAATAATAACTACTTAGTTATTTTTAAAAAGTTGGACAAGTAACAAAAACCATATCAAACTTACTCATTGCAATTGTTCAGAATAAGGTTGGTACCCATTTTTTGACCGATCCCATGGATAACAAAACATAGGTGAGAAACATCGGCGATTTTATCCTCCTTTAGGGCCCAATCATTAAAACCACGGCACAAACGAGTACCGACTGAAATTTGAAGAATTGAGATAATTAAAAATTACTTTGGGGAAATTATAGTTTACCTGAATAAATTTCAGTAATCTGGGCAAAGAAGTCGTAGTTGTTTTAACAAATGTATTATAAGAAAATTAAAATTCACGGTCGGGGAAGAATGAAATCATACAGGTGCTTAAGATTTGGACGGAGTTAAAACATCTTATAAGAGATGCCAACCAAAGTTTCCAACCATCAAAATCTGGATCAATTATTAGACTCGGATACAATTTTACTCTAGTATCCAATATTGGTTGATATGCGAGCATATTAAATAGGGATAGTGGAGACCAGATGTAGACATAAAATCAGTCAACCGAGTCACTGACTGTTGAACTTTGTTGTTATAAAGTGTCGAATTCCAGCTCAATGTTGTGAAATAACCAAAATCACCGAGCGGATGTGGTAAGTGGTGTGTTTTGAAGTGGATCAGTGATTCAGATATATTTAATCGTTATTTTTCTCTGTTATAGTTCAGTTTTAAATCATTCCAATGGTTTCCATCCCCTGTATTTTCTGAACAATATTTTTAATTCCTAGTTTTTTATAATTAATGATATTACCGCTGTGGATTCTTTTTATTTGGTTATTTACTTTTAGCCAAACTGATTCCAAGTGCGGTAGGCTTAGAACAATCCAGAACCATGCCAAGCCTTATGTTGCTCATAAATGCTCAACTAACAAAAGTGAACAAAAACGGTTGGTTTTTTCATAAAATAATATTATATTTCGATATATTACCATTTATCTGAGCCAGTCGTTTTCAGGGGAGAATAAAAACTTCACTCTACCGTAACTTGTTTGCCAATTACATATTAATAACCTCTTCTTTAGATATTAATCAACTACTGTCCTATTGAAGTATTCGAAAAGTGATTCTATCTTTTAACCTAATGAAATGATTACCAAAAAGACTCTGCGGTTAGAAACAGTAAATAATCTTTAAAACGATATTAATATATGCCAGTTGTAATGAACAGATAACAACTGAGAGTCAGTAATCTCTATGAGTCAAAAGGTGCAGAACATGTTCGGAACTTTATTTGCTTTGTGAGTTTACGTACAGTTAGACATACCTTTTTGCATTCCCAGTTTTTGTCTGATATATAAGCTTGTGGATTCGTAATATAAATACAACTCGTTTTCTCCATAACAATCGACATGACAATCAGTGAAGTGAATCGTTTGGCAAGCTAAAAAAGTTCAGAAAATGGGCGCAAATTGAATCCCCACAATAAAACCGACAAAATACATAATAGTAAAGTAGTAAAGCTCGTTTCATTAATATTTTAATAACATTATTTAAGAATTTCATGAGTCAGCTTTGCAATGGTAAGAAAAAGAAAGGTCGATTTAAATCTGAACTAGTTGATATTGTAAAACCAATCTCTCGTTTCACCCACACCGCATTTGAAATCTTTGTTCAAATACCACCTGATAACAAGTCTGTTCATCGTTGGTTTAATGACAAAAGGAATTTATTTGCACATAGGAAGTGAAATATACAAGTGGTTTTTGTATATAACGGGAAACTAGTATTACTTACTGAACGTAATACAATCCGGAATAAGTGAATCTTTATTACGTTTTCTTTATGTTAAGTATGAAAATTTCAACATAACGCAGTAACAAATTCTGTACTAGGCTTTGAAGAGTATTTTTGCAACTGAAAGAACTAAGGATACTGATTGTAATTTGAAAACAAATTAAATGATAAGATTCAGTCCTACTGTTAAGTGGTTGTAATGCATTCGTTTTAACCACTAAGCCATTTCCCAATGGCCTAGAGAAGTAATTTTCAAGTGGTGATGGCAAGTCCAGACACTGCTTTACTTACTTTTGTGTTGGTGTCATATAGTATCCCTAGGCCGAAGTTTAAGCAAGTATCGAAGCTTAACACACAAACTGAGGCTTAGTTACCAAGATTATAATACCTTTTAAATTTGGTTCATCGTACTAAAAATAATGGAGGGATCTTTGCAAACCATTTGATGTATCGTCGTTAACAATTAATATTCTGTTCTTGAACAAACAGCATCTCTTAAATGATAGTGATAAAATATTTCAGAACTCTTACTAAAAACGTTTATTTACACAGTTCAATACATAACATTCATAATATAATTCTGAAGAACACATTAATATCGTCACAAATCCACGTAAGTGATTTAAAGCAACACCGCCTGTTTGTTATTTGATGTAAGCATACAATTATTTAGTGAATAATTTGAACAGTGTACTCACTACTAACTACAAATGTTAAGATTCATTTACCTGACCGGACTTAAAATACTACTTATGAATTGGCATATTTCTTTAAGCAAACTGTCATTAGTAGGTTTTCACACTTAACAGCATGGACATGATGTAGAAGGCTGTTATTATTTCATGCACCGACAACAGCAATTAAGGTGGGAACCAAATGGACCTGCAGAGATTTGTGGGGTTTGTGTATGGCGTTTGTGATGAGAACAAATTTATTGTAATTAAAATGAATATTAACAGTTTATGAAGTATTTTACTAGTCTTTAATGTTTCCAACTAACAACCATGGGATAGCGAAATACGCGAAAGCAAAAAAACAATGTACAAGTCGCGGAATTTTAAATTAATAAACTTACAACCTTGTTTGCAAAGTCCTGACAAAGAAGAATACGAGTAACACTGTGGAACTTACGAACTCGTTTTTTCAGCACAGTGGAGCCACAGACGTTATCATCTGAATAGTTTTCTACTCCAATTGTTAAATCTTTATTTTCAGAACGAGAGGACTGAGAATTTTCGCCAACCAACTCGCTTGTTTTTATAGCATCTGCATATCGAAGAGTTGGGGCGCTAACAACAGAATGAAGTGGTGTGCTGACATCCATTCTTGTGAACAAACTGCTATTTGAGTACAAAGGTTTATCCGAGATAGTGATATTCTGAGGTTTCCTCAAGTACCAAGTGATGTACTCGGCTTCTAAACGTTCAGCCATTGACTCATCATCAAAAGGTTCGAGGGTACCACCATAACCTTCGCGAAACCAAGTACCGCGCAAAATACGTGCGGGACACCTTTCAACTGAAGAGAAATCAAAATACAGTTTACTCATACCTAATGACAGTAATCGGTTACTGAACTCACTAAGATGTAGGTAAAATTAATTTTAGCGAACACTGAAAAACTCAGTTCTTAAACAAAGGTTTCATGATTGTAATTTAAGACAAGGGGTTTGAAATCTTATCTTCCATACTGATAATATATGCAATTACTGCCTAACTATTTTACCAACTGTATGAAAATATATCCGGTTATCTGAAAATAAACCGATTTCGTAATACTAAAGAACGATAAGCTGGTCGACCCTTCAGTGAATACACATCAACCAACACGCTTAAAATATACGGAAATAAATGCGTGTCCATTGCCTGATTTAACAAATATCTTAGCGCTTTCGCTATAGAAAAATGACGTTTTAAGGAGATCAAAAATTCTACTTCAGACGTAATAAAAAGAACTAGAAGTTTAGCTACGTCACGTTTAACTGAAACATTCAAAATTAACAGCTTTAACTGACTAGAGTTCGTCTGTATTGTATCCATGAATGATATTGAGTCCCAGTAGAAAATAAAGGAACAGACACTCAGAATGGATAAGTAGAGAACGAAATAAAATCACACAGTAGACTCAAACAGATATAAACGACACAAGAATACTTCATAGCTTAAAAGAAATTTACCCGGCCAGTAAGTAGGAACACAACATCGCCTATCTACATCTGCTTCATAAAGTCCACCCCTTACAGATACTTTGTGATTGACAGATAACTGTTCTGAGTTGCATACTGCAGCTCCAGTTTGATCAAACAGACAGTCGCTTTTATTACAGACAAGGCGACTTCGATAATTCAACTCCAAATTGATAGAATCATAACCATTAAACGGTACCCAACGTTTGTTATTGGAGTCGCGATAAAACCAACGAACCTGAGTTGAAAACTTTAAAGTATTTTAAAAGACTACTTGTTCGACTTTAAGTCCAAGGTTATCACTCATGGGCACGTTGCGGTAGTTTGCGGACGATGAACCATTACAATTTGAAGTGGGGCTAACAGAATCACAAAACATATGCCTACAAACCTATCGAAGAAGTAATTCAATCGAGAGGAGCAGAATATAATTTTGGTTTACGAAATCTTCGACGAATAAAAAGAACAATAAGCTTTGCGTTGTCAATTTATTCTGCGCGCTAAGCAATCTCTAATATCATTGATTTAATTTATTGCATCAAACAGTTTCTGATTCGATGACTTGGTTCAAATGGTTGTGGATGGAATAGAAGAAGCTTTCGCTTACCGGGCTTCCGTGTATGGTAGCAGTGGATCACCAGTGCCTTCAGGCAGGAACCTAAGTATATTGACGATAATAGAGAAAAAAGAAATTGGTAAATCATAATAAGATGTTATCCTTAGTCCTTAAGAATAGATTAAGTTTCCTCTTAAAGATTCTTGGGAAGTCGCCTGGACTAGCCCAGTCAGCAGCGAATTCCAGCATTTGACAACTCTTAAGGAGTAGAAGTTGTGTCCACAGTCCGTTCTGCTGTTTTGTGCCTCCAGTTTCTGGGTGTTACCCTTTAGATTTGTGTTGGAGTTAAACTTAAGTAGGTGTTTAAGCGGATTTAGAGAAGTGTTAAAGATACTGTAAGCCATTAGATCACCTCTAAAGCACCTGTACGCTAGTAGGTAAAGGTTCAGTGACTGGAAACGCGCTTCATAAGGCTTGAATTTGAGCCCCCGAATTGATTTCGTGGCTCGCCGTTCCATACGCTCCAGAGTGTCCTTATCCTTCTGGAGTGAGGGAGGAAACACTATTTTTTCGCACTCTAAATGAGGATGAGTTAAACTGTTGAAGAGTATGTGGAGAGTTCTTCCGTCGAACTAGCCCAAAATGCGCTTAAATGTTACCACTGCAACGTTCGCTCGAAAGGCATTTTGTCACGGTAAGCGTTAGATTTCAAATAGTAGAGTACCAGCATTCCTAATTTTTTTCAACTTGGGGTATTTCCAGAGAGGAGTTACTTAAGTTGTAACTGTAGTCTGCAACATGTCCTTGATGGACTAATTTACATTTTGAAGAGTTAAAGCTAAGTCCGTTATCTTCTGCCCAACTTTAAGGTCGAGTCAGATCCTTCTGAAGTGCCAGTATATCCTTTTGGTTGCGTATCTCTCTACACAGTCTCGCAACATCAGCAAAAAGTAATCAGTCAGACGATACCTGTTGTGGAAGATCATTTATATAAATCATGAATGGTAGATGAAGCTTCTGTTTCAAAATTTTTGGCGATGAGGAAAACGTTCTGGGTGAATGATGTTGTTATACTTTGACTGTAAGACTCTATCCTGAAATTCAATTCGATTGTTTGTGGATAAAACAAAAGAAGCTTTCGCTTCATAGGCTTTCATATATGACAAGACTGAGTTATTGATGCCTCATCGTAATGATACTGATATGAAACAAGCAAATCTGAAATAAGTATTGATAAATTCACGAGACGTTCTGAGCTCTTATAAATATATTTAGTTTCCTCTTAAAAGACTTCGGAAATCTATTTGGTGCACTTCAACTGGTGGAGACTTTTATCAATTACAGAGCAAAGTGTATAACCATTATTTAATCACCAATGGTGCTTTTACACCCCGAAAGCTCCCCTTAAATTTGTGTTAGGACTGAACCTAAATTAGTGTAAGTTTGCTAGGGATATTCCTGGCTTGACAACTGATTCGCTCTTCACAATTTCATAACCTACGGATACCAAACCCAGTAAAACCAGAAGCCAGGATTGGAGGTCTTTGGGGGAAGTAGGTAAGTCATACATTGTGTGACCCAAGATGGTTAGTCGTTGCAGCGTACTCATTGGTGATCTGGTGAGTATATATCACTGGAAGCTCTCATTTAGAATATATACAGCAAAGTTGTTGAAACTAGCAACTCAAAAGACTGCATATTTTATGGATTTATTTATTAACACAAAGGTGTGACGAGATGATTCGTACCATCTAAATTTCAGTTTTTGAGGGATAGGTGGCTTGAAGTTCTATGTTAGTCCCTGTGATGGTGGGCTGTCAAGTGATCCAACTTCCTCCCGTATGAGTCGACAGAAAGAGGTTCGATCACGTGTTGACGTAGGAAGCTTAACAAATTAATAATTCGATGGAAAGTTCGATAGTCAGCCGACAGGTAATTTGTTCTGAGCTTATGAACGTGTAGTGTATTAGTTCTGAAACACACGTTCTTCGAAGTCGGACATGCGATAACTGGAAAGATTCAAACTCAACATAGATTGGGTAGTCACACAGTGACAAATCTACGGTTAAGGAATAGGTCTATTATTCTAGTAGCGTAGATAAGTGCACTCGGTTAAACAGTACCACAAACTTTTCTCAAATGTCATTGTGAATTCTCAGTTTTGAAAGACAAGAAAACTAATGTCATGTCAGATGTAAATTTATCACCAAGTAATTTAAAATCTGATAAAGCCGCCTCTGGTACTTCTATGGGACTATAGTAATAGGCTTAGTTCACCCAGCATCCTATTGTGCAGCAGCTTTACGATTCCCTGAACCCGCCTAGTTGCTGTTCCTTGAACCTTTTTCAACAGATCACTGTCTCTTTTTAAGAGAGCTTGGATGCTTGTATCTAATACTCGCCTTTTGAATCAATTTCTTGTGGTATTTGCACGAACTTCCTTGGTGAATCTTGGTGGGGAGTACCTCAAATCTCTTGGCATAATCTAAGGAACGTGCAGTGCTGTAGCTTTTATTTACGAACTCCTAATCATCTCAGGTTCATTTTCTATAAAGTATTTTATTTCAATGTTCAACTTGATGAGGGTATTGAATGCGACATTCCTTGTTCATTTGCTTTTAAAATGTTTGACATCAGTCTAGCTGATAAACTGTTGCGGACAACGATATTTAAATCAAAACCTGTAACTGCATGTTCACTTTTAACTAGGGGTGACATTTAATTAAGGCTTGTGGCGGCAGTTTCTTTGTGAGTCGACATAAGATCTAACAAGTATAATTCAGTATTTGAGACGTAACTAATTGTTTTTTCACATGTTGCTTTAGTGCACGTGTAATAACCGATCAACTAATTAAAGAGGGAGAATGTTTTTGTAAAATCTCAGCGAAAGAAGTTGAAGTAAATCCAACGTTTCGCCTGGCAATCTGGGCCAAGCTTTTTCAAGGAAAACAACAAAATTATCGAATATAAAAAAGTTAGCCAAAAGTTGGGTTTACTCCAAATTCTTTCGCTGGGATTTTACAAATACATTCTTCCTCTTTAATGTCTCACATCAAATCGGTGCCCAAATATTGTGAAACTATTTGATCAAATTTAGACTAAAGTTCCTACTTAACAACCAACTAATTCTTTCTGAGAGGATTTTCTGATGACTCAGTTTCAAAATCTTTCCAGTCCACACTAAGTGTATTAAAGTCTCTTCTTCATGAAGTACTAGATAAGCATGAACACGTGAGCCTTGCCAAGGACTTCATTTTCTCAACACCTAAGTGTCCCCTATGAAGATCTTCAAGGACAGATTTACGCAATGAAGGAGGAATAACAACACAATCATTCAAACACAAAATATCATCTAGAGTAGTAGATAGCTCATCTCGCTTTGAAAAATAAACAGGAAATCTGCGTTTCAGATTAGCATTCCAACCTTTCCGTATAGCATTCAGTATACATCCAAAGTATCTACGAGTTTCTCTAATGAGATCTGGAAGTTTCACTGGTAAAGGTTGCACTAACAAACAGTCTGAAGTATTGGCAGGTCTGTTTTGTAATGATTGTCGAGAAATGTAGTCAACGTGTTGAATTTGTTTGGCACTCCTGTGCTGAACCGTATAGTCATAGGCACTCAAAGCAATACTCCATTGTTGAACCATAACAGCTGATAAATAAACTTTAAAGCTTCATGATCAGTAACAATAGTGAATTTCTTTCCGAATAAATATTTATGAAGTCCTTTAACAACCCAAAACACAGCTGATGCTTCTCGCTGAGTCTGTAAATAACTTAGTTCAATAACAGTAAGTTTGTCTGAAACACAGATAACTGGTCTACTTTCCTCTTCCAAAACTGCACTGCTACCCACGGGTGATGCATTAGTAATAAACACAGACTATACACTAGGGCAGTAAGCTGGAAGAACAGCATCACTGAAGAAACTTTTGTGGACTACTTAGGCATGACTCTTGTTCCTCAACCCATTTGTGTGTCAAAATATTAAATGAACAACTAGAACGACAAGAAAAATTAGGAATAAAACGGAAATAGTATTGAAGAGCACCCACTAGTGGACGTCATTCCGTAAGATTTTTTGGAGAGGGTGCATTTGTCAGTGGAGCTGGTCGTTTCACATCTGGTGTAAAAACATTACCATCAACTAGGTATCCAAGATATTCGAAACTAGATACACAAGATGAACACTTATTTGGATTCACTGTAATTTTCTTCTCAATTAAACGACGCAATAAATCAGTAATTCTCTGGTCATGAACTACCTTATCAGAACCATGAACAATCAGGTCATCTTGATAAACTTCAACACCCCCAAGATCACTAACTACATTATTCATAGTTTACTGAAATATGGCTGGAGAACAACTTAGACCAAGTGGAAGGAAATTGCATTTGAACAGACCAAAATGAGTATTAATTGTTGTTAAATTAGATGAAGATTGATCTAAAGGGATTTGGAGATAAGCATCTTTTAGGTCAACTTTCGAGAACACTTTAGAATCATGAAGTCGATTTAGAATATCTTCAGCCTCTACCGTCGTGCATGTTTGCTTCAACAAATGGGAGTTCAGTGTTAATCTATAGTCACCACATATTCTAGGAGTCTTGTCGTCCGACTTCAGTGTAGTAACAATAGGAGTACTCCATGCTGAAGACTGGATCCGTTCAATTATGCCTTTCACACACAAATCGTTTAATGTCTTATGTATTGCTTCTCGAAAACCATAAGGAATTATTCGTCTTTTAAGAAAGACTGAATCACCCTGTACTTGAAGTTTTATAGACTGAATTTTCATACCTCCACTGCACTTAACACACGTAGCAATCAAATCTTAAAGTAAAGCACCAAAATTTTCTTTAGACAACTACACTTTAGGCCTTTTCAAATTCCTTAAATCCAGTGTTGACAGTCCTGTTTCGCTAACTGAAAATTCACAAGGTATGCATGAAGAATTATCATCTCTAATTAGTAATTCACAACATCCTCGTATAGGCAGTCTGTGTCCAGTAATCCCCCAAATTGAAAATCTAGTGGGTCGTAACACAACATTAGGATCTAAAGATTTCAAGTTACTGAATGCAGTGATGGACTCTATACTGTCTTTGTCTACAATAGAGTTGTGAAATGAACCAAGCGATGTATATAATCGCTTTTGAATATGATAATTATCTTTCGACATGGCAGACAAAGAAAAATGATCATTAGAAACAGCTGAATCATTAGGATCTAGATTACAAGATTTAGTACTACTTGAAATAAAATGAACAGTAGCTTTGCATACTGATTGAAGGTGTCCTATCTTACTACATTTAAAACATTTAGCATTACGAAATGCACATGAACTACGAGGATGAAATTTTCCATATGATAAACATTTGTCAAAATTAATCTCATCTTTGTGATTTGCTTTGTAATTCCTTGCTGAAACACATTTCATATTTACACGAGAATAGGTATCACTGTTGAACAGACCTATGTTTGATTGACTCTGAGATTGTATTTCGTCATGACGACTCAACGAACTAATAGAAATATTCATCGACTGGATATCAAGTTCATTCACTGCCTCGTAGTTAGTACACTCAGTTCTCGTATCTTGAAAAGAACAGTTCGGCATTCTTAACAGCTCTCTTTCCAAACCAGGTATGTTAGTTCCTGCCCTCTCTCAGTTGCACATGAAGTTCATCACCGAAATTACATTTAGGGGCTTGTCTCTGCAATTAATGGATGAATTCCCTAACCTTTCGGTTATTTCGGCAAATCATCTTATTAAATATCGCCCTTTCACGGCATTCAAAACTAGTGCACTTTACATGATTTATTAATAGCTCCTTGACGGTTGCATAAGGAAGTGAGATAAGTCTTTCTGGATATACCAAAGTTTTTTATAAGCTGTATGCTTCTTTTCCAATGAATGTCAGGAAATGTGCCACAATTTTGCCACCTTTAATATCTTTCATGGTCATACTTCAGATTTAAAAACTATAAGAATAATCTTCAAAAGCTTCAGAAGTTGAATGAATATCTAACTGTTCCATCACAGGCTCCATCGCGATGCCAGTGTGATAATTACGAGTATTTGAATTATAGTAAAAACTAAGAATCTCAGTAATAACGCAATTGGATCAAGAAGTACTAGATAAGCATGAACGAATGTATTGTATTTAGAATTCGAAACCATACATTCAACAAGTACAAAGGAATCATTAATTCATTCAAACACCGCAGACTGTCAACACATTCGGAAGTTAATTGGATCACTTGACAGACCACTATCACAAGGACTAACATAGGACATCCAGCATCCTGTCCTTCGTAAAGTAATACAGAATATCATGAAACATGTAGAGCTAGATTGAAATAAAAATGATGAATGAGTGTGCGAAATTTGTTGTACATTCACTGTAAGAACAGATATATTTCACATACGTACATTATTTGTTCACGAATGCATGTGGCATGCAGTCAGTCTAAATGTATCGATATAAAGCTAACTTGTGAAGGGCGCTGCTATTAATCGGATGGTTACTTCGGGGTTAGTTGTGATTTAGTGTGAAAATGCATTTTCGAGCTGAATTATGTTGTCCAAATGAGTTATATCATATTATTTTTTACCTCTGCCTTTTTTAAAGTTAATTTTCTAGTACTATTAGGTTTCGCTCAGTGTTTCGTTCTTTCACCATTGTAAACATGCAGGTCTGCAACTGTATGAAGAGTATCCAATTTCCGAGAAGCAGCGGTAAATCTGAAAATTTACATAAATTTAATGGAAATTTCACAGAAGCCCTCAGACTAGAAAGTTTTGTTATAAAGCTAGTTCCCGAGCTACCAACTTTGAGGAAATATTGGGGGAACTCTCGAAGTCAAATGACCTTGATAAATGTTTGGGGAAAATTTGGCGTTTTCGTGCCATTTCCCCGAAATTTTCTTCAAAGTTTACTGTAGCGGCTCCCCCAAAATGTGCCAAATTTTCTCCAAAATTGGGAGCTTGGGCTAGGCACCAATATGTCGGGTATTTTTGGATCAAAACCGCAAAGTATGTGCTACTTATTTGAAAAAGTTCCTCACTTTCACATAGGCTATTATTTATGCTTTCTAAAGCGGAACTTGATAATCTAAATTGTTAATCCAAATGGGTCTCTTACACATGTACAGAAGTTTTGCAAAACCACTTCTTGTATAAAGTAAGTAACGCTTATTGCTTGACTGAATATCTTTCTCCGAATTACTAAACTACTGGATGTAAAGTGTACTTCGATACGCGCTCTTACTGACCTGTATGACCCTTATATCCTACACAAAATAGTCAAATCAGTCTACAGATATGATTCTGTAGAAATTTTAATGAGATTGGGCACTTAAAGAAGTTTCAATAAGAATTCCAGAGAAAGTATATTCTTAACAACATATTCGTTTAAGAACTAATATTCCCTAAAAGATGCTTGATGTGTTCGAATATACATTAAAAACTTTAACTCCTACGAAACCAGTCTTTTCATTGATAAATTAATTCGAAAGACCTGGGAGATACGTTCGAGTATCCTTTCTTTTTTTTAACGTTCTTTAAGGAACTGAAGTATTACGAAATATACAAGAATATTTGTTTAAATAGGTTTATAGTGTTGAGTAGTCATTTGGACAACAAATCGGTTGTACTTTTAATGGGATCTTGCATAAAACATGCAAAATTTCCTGTTGGTTGTGATAAACATAATGCGTGACTGCAGACTTATTTTGTCGACAGTAACATGCAGCTAGAAAAATAGTAAAGTAAGCTTACAGTTCTGAATCAGTATTGGCCGTGAATCCATCATTCTACGTTTAAAATCGCTATTCATAAATGTTTAGTTATGTGGCTTCCCTTGCATGTATCTCATATTGAAACGATCACGCGCATCGTGGAAGACTGAGTACTCTTATCCATTAATTTACTTAGACCAGTTCTTACCAACTTCTAGGTTCAAGAACAAATTGACGAAGAATCTAATTGGGTTTAACAATTAGATAATAGTTTACTGCAAAACATATTGTGATCTATAGATTTTCACAATTAATTTGTTGCACAAATATCTGTAGATCTCATTCCCGACTGAAGTTTCTTGCGGATTATTATGCGCCTCAACAGTTTCTTCGAATCATCACTGATCGTTTTCGTTATATTAACGATCTGCAGGCCTAGAACCAACTGTACGCAATTCAAAAACTGGCTTTTGGATTTCGAGTAATGTTTATGGAATATCTAGTTTTACTTCTTTTGACAGTGGAAACCCAGTGTTCCGTTTATTAACACTACCGACTGTAGTAGTCTTTCAGAATATTTGTTATCAAATGCACATACGTAGGTAACTCCACTAAATTTTATGAGATGTCTATGAGATGAACAGATTTATTTGAGCTACTTGGTAAATAGGAACCTCAGTTGGAGCTCCACTTACTAATTTCTCCGCTTCAATATCTGAATGGAATTCGTCAAATGTTGGGGATTTTATTCGGATGAACTGATGCAAAAAATAGTATCAATAAGTGTGTGCTTAGCTATAGAGAGGTTTCGTATTCCATGACATATTCAGATAATCACCTGAAATACACATATGTCTACTAGTTTCAATTCCATATATCACTAAATTCTATAATTATAATACTTAATGACCGATCCATATAGACCTTTTTTAGAAGTTCCTCATCTGTAAGATCCTTTCTATAGGTGCTACAACCAACCAACATAGATTATTAATAGTGTGGATCACTGCAAGTCCCTTGGTAAAATACTAAGTGTAAAGCTAACCAATTAACATATGACAAATTCAACTGTTACACAACCATAGGTTCACAGTACACCAATGAAATTAAGACGTCACCATGAACGGTCAATTTTGCGGAAGAGTTCTAGACGTTTACTGTATGCCTAGGGAAGACTCCACAAGTTTTAAGAAAATCCTGCGCAGATGCCCATCGTCTGAATTTCTCCGAAATCTCACTTTAGGTCACCTCCGAATGTATTGCTTAGGTTGAATCATCGTTTCTGGAACCTACCTCTGTTGGTCTCATTAATGTCTGGATGATCAAATAAGCCAATATTTAAAATCACTTCTCATTTTTCAATGAAAACCTAGTTGTTTCTAGGTTATTTCATGCAAAAGATAAGTCTTGTCAGCAAAATATACATGTATATGTTCACAGTTCTTGTTCTTCTAACTTTGATAAGAATTATGCGTTATATGTCATCTTTATTCGCTAGTTACAATTGAAAAACACAAAATATTTCATCGGCTGTCAATCTTTTTGAACTTTGCAGGTATGTTCCAAACCACTATACTGTGAATCCTTGACTGATTTCTGCTGTACTCGAATTGCTGCCAGCACTCAATGGACTTAACTTGTTCAATCTGCCTTAATGTCTTGTTCAAACCAGTTCATCTCCCTTGCAACCACCAATTCTGCAAGGACTGCATAGTTCAGGCTTTGAACTTCACTGCATATCAATGTCCTATTTGCAGATACAGACTTTCAAACTGGCTACGGAGAGTAAAAGATATGGATTCAGTAATTTCCGAAAGTAAAGAAAATGAAATTCGAAGTCTTTTTCCAAATTATTATAATGCCAAAGAATCCGGAATGTCTCCTTCTTTGTCTGAATCTGAAATCAAAACCCTTGCAGCGAAAAATACAGGTGTGGTTGGTTTTTTGTTCAAAGAATCGACATTAATGTTTGTTAACATTTATGTGAGACGATCTATATGTTGTTTTCTTGAGAAAGTGAAGGTAACATCTCTGTAGTCATATTACATTAATTTTTGAAAAATCTTAGTTATTTGTATTAATTGCCATTTATTTCAGATCCTATTCCAAACTGCTTTACCGAGCCAGGAGATGTGCATGATTATTATGTGAAAGAGATCGAGAAGTACTCATATTTACGTTCTTTAGAAGAGAAAGAAAATGAAGAAGCTTCCTTAGCACTAGCTGCTCAGCTCCTATTTGAAGATGGTCTTAACTCGCCAGCAGATGACATTTCACCCTTTGGTAGGTTGCCAGTTGGTATTGATGCATACATAAAAATCAGAGTGCCAAGATAATAACCATCACATTGAAAATACCCTTACATCGATTGCTTCTTCCTCATCCAGAAGCAAAAGAGTAAAGAAAAAGTGCGAGAGAAAGAAAATTAAGGCGATAAAAACAAGTAAAACATTGTTGGATTACGCTGTCAATACAGCTAACGTCGGACTCAAACCAGAAGTTGCAAATGAACAGGTACACTTACATTTTGTTTCCTTAGAATTTTAATTGACCAGCAATAGCTTTTAAAGGTTTAGACACCACTTCATAATCTAAATGGCGATTTGGGAAATTCAGCCAGACGGTTAAACATTGCTCATCAGGAAAACGGTCTAAACAGTAATTAATACCACAAAAAAACTTTCTGCTAACAGCTAACTCAAATATCAGTTTGGACTAAGCGATTACTTGCTCCACCGATTTCAGTTAACTCCCTCTACCCAGTGCCTAACTGTAGACTAGGGTTTTGATATCCGCCTATTTATTTTAAGCGAGATTCGGATTGCTGTTTCATACTTGAACTACTACGAAACAATTAAGTATTCTTAAGTAACTTAAGAAAATAAGAAGCTCTGATTTGAAAGACGTCTCTAACTAGTCCTGATCAAAGTACCCGTAGGGTGGTTCAAAACCACAATTCAATCTAAGTGTCTTGACAATTGCAATCAGACTATAGCTGCATCCTTAGTGTGACAGACTTGTCAATTGTGACCATCCAGCTAAACTTTGTTCGACGGAACATTTGTTCTTTGAAACTCTGCCATACCAAACAGGTTGGTTAGATATCAGTAAATTTAAGGCCATAGCTTTTGTTTGAGTCATTCTCTCTATGCACATCTGTGACTTTTAGTAGTGTCACTGAACAACAAAAGCAGACAGTTTTTAGAGATCTCAATCATGAAGAGTCCGGAACGGATGCCTAGTATTCCTTATTCCTCATCGGTCCCTTAGCAGACATTAGCTAATGAAAACGACGTTTGCAAACCCAATAGTCAGGTTTTAATTTTTGTAAATTAAAGATCTTTCTTGCTATCTTTAATCATCAAATTTAGTCTTGTTTGTATGTGCTTAAATTATCGTGGGACTGAATTAGAAAAATCACTGATTCATTCATTATTTCCTACTTGCACCTAGCGTAGTAGCAGGCAAATCGAAAAAAGTATGAGACGTAACTGAATAACTAGTTTGCCTACGTGTAATAAGACTTCTGACTGATACATTTTTTCCACTTTATAGATTTTGTGTGATGAGACATTTGCTCGGAGGTTGCAGATTAAATATTCAAAACTATTGGGTAATATGGAAGAGCATAAACGTCTGAAAAGTAGAAAATAATATTCTTGATAATTTTGTGATTATCTGCGTAACTATTAAAGAAATATTTAACGCTACTTTATTTTGTCATACAGGATAAATATACAGTGTTCATATTGCATAGAATTAAATCAAATAAACACAATTACCTATAAAAGTTAATTTCTCGAAGAACAATCGGAAGCTTACGATTTATCGACTGACTATGTACTTGTCGAGACGGTTAACACTCATTAGACCCATGCTTTCTAATTAACATTCGAAAAGAACCAATTTTGTGAGCGTATTGTATTGAAGGTTGATAGTCGGAAGTATATTTAGAGAGCTTTTATGTGAATACTTGCGTACAATTTACAATGAACATAAAAATAATCTTTGTCATATCATACGTCCTTAACAACTTGCTTTTAACTGAGTGTTACTTGGCTCCCAGAGCTATCATAATGATTTACTGTAAGCATAAACTATTCGATCGCAGCTGAATTTGTGATATTTTTAAATCTGAAAACCATAAAGAACAAAAATACTGAGCATATAAGAAAATCAGATGCAGATGAATCAAGTGGATGCTACCAAGTTCTTCAGGAATAGCGTTCATATCGTATGATGCAGTTTTTGTACATATAGACAGAGAAGTACATGTATAACCATCTGAACCAAACTAACTGTGATTTATGACTTATCATACTGAAATAAGGAACGTACAGTAATCGAAAAGGTGAACAAATGAAGTTCTCTTTAAGTAAAATAGAAATCAATAGGTCAATTAAGAAACAATATTTACGTAAAATGGAAACACTTTGTAAGACAAATAATTGGGGAATAAGTTGGTCTCTACACGCTTTTTTCAAGACTTTTGCAAGTACGCAGTGGTTTCTGTGTCCACTTACACCAAATTCGTCGAAACTTACCACAGAACGAGAACGGAACTTATGACATGTTTGACAGACTACATCAATTAATTCCTCTGTTGGCCAAAATGAATTAGGACCATCCTCAAATTTATCTGAATCAATAATGGTTGAACGTCGGATTCCCAATTTCTTCATTGCGACGTCCAGTTCACGCTTCCTTTCATGGCCAAGTCCACCATAATTCCCAGTGGTAAAGCAAAGCAGGTCTACGTCGTATCCGCTATCTACTAATTTGAGTATAGTCGGAGCAAAGAACATACATTCATCATCCGGATGTGCAGTGACGATGAGGACTGGCTGTTCTATATTTGTTCGTTTAATTTGAGCAAGAAGTAAAAGACACAGCCATAAAATGAATGTGAAGATGTTCACCCCAATAACTGTAAGAGAAATGTTTTATCGTAAACTAACGAAATAGCAGGCATGGAAAACAAAGTTATGTGATTCACATTACTTAGCTATAAAATACAAAGAATTCGTGTTTATCCATACTTATGTCCTCGAGAAGTACATTCTGTATTCTTAAGTAACTAGTGTCATATTTTCTGTGTTCAAGAGCCAAAATTCACTTTTACCAGTGAAAGATTAAAAGTGTCTTTGGCGCCAAGGGGTCACATGACACCCCATTAAACTGGCGTTAATCAGTAATTTTGAAATCACTTCCATTAAAAGCATCTTGGTTCCGTTTCATAAGTGTTGATTGATCATGGAAAGAAAAGTTGCTCGATAAGTTATTGACCAAACACTTTTACAATGTACGGAAGAAACATATTAGGATTAGAGTACATTTAAAGTGCATAACCAACCACATTTTATCAGCCTAAGAGAATCCATTCTTGTTATTTTTAAGTAGTAATGAGTTAAGATAGCGTTTAGTATACTTTATTATGTTCAGTTACTTAGAAGCTATTAATTGTAAGTTTAAGGACATGTATTTCTATCTTTAGGTTTAAACGATAATGCCGAATTCGGTACTTAGGCACGGACTGATATCATATCAAATTATGCCTTGAAAATAATTAGTAAATGGCAACATTTCGAAGACTAAGTTGCGGTAGGGTTTTTTCCTTAATATGGGCATTTAGTTAGTAAGCAACTCATAGAAAACTCGTTAAACCGAAGAAGTACAGTCCATAGTATCTACACTTCAAGTGTATGTATTGTCGGCTGTACGTCTAATTGAGATAGACTTTTAAATCCAGTGCCGAGCGTGGGGAAAGTCAGCTGTCCCTCGAAATGTTCTCACATAGCCACGTGCATACAACCACTGTCAGGGAAGTCCGACTCATTGCCCTCTCGTAGCGGGGATATTGTTTACGAAATTGAGTACGAAGAGCGAATTCTCGGCGCTTTAACCGCGTTGATGGATACGGACGGTCCACCTAGAGGAGTTGGAAAATCCTGACTTCAAACCAATGGTGTACATTAGTTCCAGAATCCTAAGGAAACAAATGGCGTATGAACGTATTATCGGTCACCAGATACCATGGAACAGCATCTCCTTACGTCGCCCCACTGCCTTGTGGATTAGACCATTAGGTCAAAGGCTTGGGGTGGGCACCAGGGCAGTATCCCAGCCTTCAGATGATTTATGTGGCGTATATCTGTTTGGTGCCTCGTTTTACCAATGCTTAGGTGTTCCAATAAATAAATAAAATATTTAAATCCAGTATTGCAGACTAAATATCACAGGCTTTTGGAGACAATCATATGAACAGTTAAAGTTAATTTTGAAATCATTTAGACAAATGACTGTCGCAATTATCAGTACACGAATAAAATTAATTGGAATTGGGGAAATCAGTACAGAGAAACTTCAAAAAGTGTGGTGCTAATGTAAACACTAGGTTGAATAAAAGATAGGAAGTTAAAGGAATGTTTGACAGTCTGATTATATTATGCAATGTTGCTATTTAAGTGTTTAAAAACTAGGCTAGCGAGGATCTACAGAAGAACGTGTTGATGCATGTCTTCTGTAGACAATACTAATTTTATTAGTTTGAGGGACGAAATCTTGTAGTTTGCTTGAGACGGACCACATATTCAGCAAGAATAAAAATAATACATTTCCTTTTCATCTGATAATTTTTCTACTCATTGGGATATTACAAATATATTATTTCCTTCTCATTTATTATTGTTCTAAAATTTTCTAATTCAATAAATGTTATTTTTAAAAAGACTTACATAAGATTATCCACAACATCATTTGGTTAACTTGCATCAAAGCAGTGGTGGTAGTTGTCATTAACTCTTACTGAAACATTTGAACTTTTGAGTCCTTAAAGATAGAAATCTAGAGTGATGAAAAGACAAGAGGCTGTTGATTTGTGAAGTGATCATCATTTTTAAGCTGTTGAATCAACGAAGGCTACCTGGGAAACTGAAGTGAATTCCACTATGGGGAATGGAGTTATTTAAGATTAAGGAAATAACACTATCTACTTCCTATTTACACTAATCTGATATAACTGAAGGTACGACAATTAAGCTTACCGGAAAAGCAAGAACCTTACTACCTGAAATATATAATCTTTATTCACATTGAGGATTACACCGTGGATGTAAACAAAATTTCGGATAATGGTTTTTAGTGTAAGTGACAGTCACTCTGAAAGAAAGCCAGGACTTGCAATTTAACGTAGCTAGACTGGAAAAGGTGTTAATTGAGACGAATACATATTGAATGATACTCTCCGTCTTCCTAAATTAAAATGGATGTGACAGTACTCAGCTCAATGGCTAAAAGATGAGTGCTTTAATCAGTAGGCCACCACCCTACCGGTTGAGGTTCTAGGATATTTTGCAGATGTATTTTATGTCATGCAGGACTTTGTTCTTAACACTATCTTCCTACTATATCTATTGTACTGAAACATTCAGGTCGATCGTTCGCCACATAAACTACATTTTCAAGGGATTCTAAAGGAAGCGAAGTCATGAGCGGTCCGCATCGAAATAGGGGAATATCATGGCGTCAGGTTCCCCTGAATGGCATAAACGTGTGTTTGTATTAATTCAATGTCTTACAAAAAATCCCATCACCTAGTATAAAGTAGGAAACAGGGTCCCGTGTGTACACTGTATTTATATAAACTATGGCTCACTAGGTTTTAAGTGCATACATCATGATGGACATCGGATTTATAGCAAGGGAATATAGTCGACTGTACAGGTTAATTTTCGATAAACTGGTAAGGTGATCCAGTATTTTCTGCTTCGTGCATACCTTCAAGAAAGTTCTACATTTCAGCCAACATTTTTTTAAGTCGGTTGCTCGGCATATTATAGTCCTCCAAGAACTCACAGATATCCAGAACGGCGACACCTGAAACTCTTCGCTGTATCGTAAATGTAAATGCGTCATGTTAAGTTTAGCTTTTCATAAGCTTAGGTTGAGCACATTAATATATAAAGCGCTTATAAAAAAGCAGTAAAGAAGACTAAGTAGCAGTTTGTATCAAGACCGGGTACTAAAAGTACCCTCGGCCGTGGGCATGAAAATAAGTACTTGATGAAAGTGAGTGGTAAATGAAAGAACGATGAACCGACATATTTGACGCATCCTCTTTTTCTTTTTATCAAGTCAGGACAACTCAGAGGACATACCAATTGAGTAAAAAAAACCCAAGAACAAACAAACTACTCGTAACATAGAAGTTATCACACCAAGTCATCAATTCTTGGAACCTGTTACCAGAAGTAGTATCTTTCCCTTTAAATGACTCATTCAACAGACGACTAGACACTTTCAGAAGCTTACTAAGAAACGCCCAACACAAATCGTAAGCCTTCTATCCCCAATACAAATGTGAATCTGGCAAAATGTACTTACATTCAACAATAAAATAAACCAATAACGATTAGTAATAACACGATCGTTAGATGAAGTCAGGCAGTGTGTCACGTTCAACTTTGTCAGGTCTGCATCTAGCTGTATCACGTTGCTTTGAAGTTGCCGTGTGAGCAGAATGAGATTATCTAAGAAAAAGGAACAAAAAACCGGGTCGACGACACAGTAAGCACATAGAATTCAACTACATTTAATAACGAAAGCAATCGACAAACAGATATGAAATGAGCGTGACACTATGACTTTCAAAAAAGCTACAGGTGGTATTTCTCCCAGCTGAGATAATTTTATACTGTTGGTCGTTTATCACGCATCAAGACTACTGTTTTTGCTTCAACTAAAGTAATCGCCAAGAGTGTCGTTTTTTGTCTTGGAGTAATTTATCATCTGCACTTTTTTGTACAAAAGCAAAAAGGGCAGTGGTACTTTCCATCGTTGAGTAAATCTCTTAGTACTGCTTGTATTCCTAGGTGTAAAGGCTTTTTTGTACTTGTTTGAGTAGGAGTTTTGTTGTCAGTTACAGTAACATACAAATCTCAGCTTTTTGTATTCACTGTCTACCACCAGTTTATTTCTCTTTGAGATTGTAGTGAAAAAGAACACTAGTGGGGATAATCGAATGTATTTAGGCACATAATTACAGAGCATCTCAATAAAATCTGAGAACCATATATTAAATCGTTGATTTGCAAAATATCAATCGATCATATCAAACTTGATTGTTCCTGTTGCAAACATCGATCCACTGTCTTAGATTTCATTGTACATGCGTTTTCATACCAATTGCGTTTCGTTCCCATTCTTTCTTCATCGACCTATTGAAATACATTCTATGCCTGACCACCCTCATATACTACTTGTGTGGATATAAGTAACCCACACCACAAGATCACTAAACCAAGGAGAACTTCGTTGTGGTAGATACGCATGCCTTTTCCCGGTCAAGGATGGAATGCAATGTGACAACTGCAACAAGTGGTATCACAACGTGTGCACCAGACTGACACCGGCTGCATGTAAAAGGTGCCACAAACCGCTACATGTTGGCTGCGCAAAGCATGTTGTTCATGTTTCCTGAGCTAGTGAACATAGCTAGAAAGATGCCCTAAGATAAACATCCAGCAGCAGATGAGTAGCTTTCAGTTTTCGAGGAAGCAGCGAGCGTTATCATGAGTCTAGTTTTAGGGTTGAATGAAACGATCAAGGTGGAGATTAATAGCGTAGCTGGTAACGAACAGATGTAGGCATGGTTACCAGAAAAAAAGAAAAAAGTATATTGAGAATAAACGAATTATGGGGAGCTCTAGGAATATGTGAGTCGACAGTTGCAGTTCCGGATCCAAATATCAAGGCAAAACAGATTTTTGAGGAACAAAGCCTGAGCGGTGTAGACGATGTGATCAAGAGACATATTAAAGTCAATGAATGGCTTACAGTTGCACCCAGAAAAAGAAAAGTAAGGAAAAGAGACCGTGTCTGACGCCAAATTGAACTGAAGGGACGAGATTTTAGGAAACAAAGCTTCACAGCTTGTTAAGATGGGTCTCGTTGATAGGTTAGTCATCCTTCATAAGTAAATAGAATCTTTCGAAAAGGAACGAAAGGCTAGGTTTGAACGCGAACTAAGCCACATGAAAATCTTAATAAGCAAGCTACTTCCTGTAACAGTAGTAGGAATTAGCATCTATAAGCTTTTCAGAATGGGAGAAAAAGTGAATTCTGAAAGTACACAGAAAAACCACCTCTTGAGAGTTACCCTTGCTTCTGTTGAAGAAAGAAACCTAATACTGGAGAACGCACGCAAACTTACTGGATCCGGAATACATGTCGGTGAGGATCTCAGCCTAGTTGATCGCGTTAAGAGACGGTCGGCAGAGGTAGAAATAAATGGGCGCCTCTGGAGCGGTGAAAATGAATTATACCTAAGGGTGGATGACTTTCTCCTAAGCAATCTTAAGTCCTGGTGTAATATGAGTAAAAGCCTTATAAAGGCAACTTTAATGCACTGTCTACAAATTGGGGAAACTTAGTAGTAGGACGATCAACATCATTTGGTTGCAAATTGTTGGAAACCAGGATAAGTAGAGGATATGCAAACTATTTTGAGACAGTTTTCACTCAGGAGCTTCTTCTGGACGAAAAACTATACCCGAATACAAAGTCAAAAATGATCTGCTTAGTGTGAACTTCGATAGACGATGTACTTAAGACCCTTGACACTTTAGACACGGAAAAGTCAACAAATCGAAATGAACTACACCCTAAAATGTTGAGATAAATTGCGCAATATATTGCTGCCCCATCGACTACGATATCCAATATGTCACTTGGCCAAGGTGAGTTACCTACAGACTGGAAGAATGAAACTGCTATTCCTATACATAAAACAGGATCAAGGCAACATCCATCAAATCACAGACCTGTCAGCCTCATCAGTGTCGTAGTTAAGATACTCGAAACAATAGTCAGAAAGACCATAACAACATTCGTGGAAGCAAACAACTTGTTAAACAGCGAACAAAATGGTTTAAAGAAAGGTTTATCTTGCATAATAATTCTTATAGCAAGAGAGAAATGGATAGAGGCTCTAGATAATGGAAAGTCAGTGGATGTTGTCTAAATATACTTTAGCAAAGCATTTGATAAGATGCCAAAACTGAAGTTGGAAATTTAAGGCATTGCCGGATCTCCTGGAAGGCCATAGACAGAAAGTAAGAATAAATTTCAAGTATTCTTACTTGAAACCAGTACTTAGTGGAGTACCGCAAGGCTCTGTCCTAGGTCTTTTACCTTTTATACTGTATGCAAATCAACTCTCGAGTATAGTTGGGTCTTCAATGCTACTATACGCTGATGATATAAAAACCTGGCGAGGAATAACAAGAGACGTAGATGCATGCGCACTTCGGGTAGACTTGTATATTTTGATTAGCTGGCCTAAAAATGGCTGACGCCTATCAACGTGGCCAAGGGTGTCCACATGGACTTTGGGGATACAAAGGTAAATAGGTACAGCATAGTGGGGAGTGCCTGTACCCATGGTCCGGTCTCAAAGATTTCGGGGTGACAGTGAGTCATGATCTTAAGACTACGGCTAACTGCTTCAAGGTTGCATTTAAGGGGTTTAGAGCCCTACTGTCCTCAAGACGGATAATCATTTAGCTAAATACTACCGTGTTCACTACAATATACACAACCTTAGTGAGAATAAAACTTGGAAACTACACTCAGGCTGAAAATCCCTGTTTAAAAAGTGACTCGGATATCCTGAAAAACGTTCAGATGGCAGCTACCTATGCCAGAACTCCAGGGTTTACCATATACAGAGCGGTTTGAAAGGCTAGACCTACCGCAGATTAAGAGGTGATCTTATTTTGATGTATAGAATACTAATAAATGATTTTGGACATAATATACCCCTCTTCTTCCTACCAAACTGAGACAACTCAGAGGACATTTCAGGCGATTAGAGAAGCCAAGAACAAACAAAATACTCGTGACATATAGGCTTTTGCACCGAGTCATCAATTCTTGGAACCTGTTACCCGAAGCAGTGGTGTCCTCACTTTCAATTGACTCATTCGTGAGAAGACTATACACTCACAGAAGCATACTAGAAAAGAAATAACGTAGGCCCTAGGCCTTCTGTCCTTACTACACAAATCTGAAATTGAAAATCTAATTGCAAACTTGTCACTAGGTAATTTTAAAACTCTGATTAAGTCACCTCTAGTATTCCTATAGGATTATGAGGATAGGTTTAGTTTGGCCAGCCGGGCGTCATACGGGAGCTTTGCCATTCCGGGAATCAGTTTAGTTGCAGTTCTTTGAACCGTTTTCAACACTGTTATCTTTTTTAGGCAGAGACTAGCAGCTCTTATCAAGTGCTCGAGTTTAGTACGAACGAATACCATATAGAAATTCAAAAAGGTCTTAGCATCGACATGGCTAAAGGTTCTACGTACCAACCATAGGGTTCTAAAACCTTTGGCGGCCTTCTCACGGCAGTGTGCATTAGTTTTTAAATCTTGACTCTCACATGATTGTATCTGGAAAACAGGTAGCTTATTGTCATTCCTCCTGTGTGTTCTGTACCTTGGTGACCAACATGTATTATAATGCACCCGGAAGCATTTTTCTGCAACTGCCAAATTTGAAACCATTCATCATTTTCCCAGGTTGTTCTGGAACTCTAAACTACCACCTTTACTTTTTATCGCTCTCCATATCTTGACATCGTCTGCATATAACGAAACTGATGATGATAGGAGACTAGGAAAGTCATTTACTTACAAGAGAAACAACAATGCCCCCAAAACTTTACCTTAAGACACTCTAATAAGAACAGTTTTTTAGCTGGACAACTTTGAGTTCACCCGTACTATTTGTTTAAGCCCAATTAGGATGTCCTTTGTCCACATTAATAAATTGCTTTCAATCTCGACATTACATAACTTCTATAACAGCTGGTTGTGAGGAACTTTGTCAAAAGCATCACTGAAGTCAATGTACATTATATCTAAAGGTAACTTTTGATCTTCAAGAGCTCACCAGCTTTCACGAGCTACTAATAAGTTAGTAATATATGAATAACCTGTTTTAAAGCCATGCTGCTTTTCAAAATGAATCCATTTTTGTCGAGATACATAAACAACTGAACAATTTTTTCTAAAATTCTAATAACCACGCTGGTTAGAATTACGGGTTGATAGTTCTCAGGTTTATGTTTCGTGCCTGTTTTGAAGACATGACTCCCTATGGCACTCTTCCAGTTTTTTGGTAATCGATTCTGCGTTACAGCTAGACCAAAACATATGCTTGAAAGATTTGCGAGGAGATTTCATCGAATCCTGTGGATTTGCCTATATCAAGCTCATTTTGCAGACGAGGACATCGAGTTCTTCAATAGCCACAGTTCCCAGTGTGTATGGGGTTTTGTATGAACTGAAGGAAAAAGCATATCTACAGTATATGCATTGATGAAGTAATTTGAGAATACCTGAGCTTTACCATAGTCGTCCTACACTAATGATGTAGTACTGATGTCTCCCTATAGTGCTGGGATATTTCCTCTTCTCTTAGTCCTATGGTTTATGTACGAGTATAAGCATTTAAGGTATTCGATATATTCTCAACCAAGTTCTTCGTACAACCTTCTAGATGTGCAGAGGGTCGAAGCACGTATATTTCGGGCTCCCCAATACTGATATTTTGTCTTGTTAGTACAGAGCAACTTAAATCTCTCCCACATTCTACTCTCACGGAGAAGGGTGCGAACCTCTTTACTGAATCACGGTGGGGAGTTTCTCCAACCTCTTGGTGTAGTTCAAGGGTTGTGAGATGCAGTGACCTTTATATACGAACTTCTTAATTTATCTCAAGCTGTTTCAATCGAGGACTTTGGTTCTATTGGCCAATCTACTAAGAATGCTAAGTGCGTAACATCTTGCATCTTTGCTTCCCAGAAGTTTGGTAATGGCTTGGGTTGACACATGCTCATTATTGATAACTATATGGAAATCGAAGACTAGAACTGCACGGTCACTTTTACCTGAGGGTGGCACGTAACGGAGATTTGCGACATTATTGGGTTGATATAAGATCTAATAAGAATGATTCGGAGTCCGGGTAGGACCTAGTTGTTTCTTTCACATGTTTCACTGGGTCATGTGGTATAACCGCGTCAACTAGTTTCTGTTCCAAAGAATTTTATGACAATTTAGTCGTCAATTTTCTCAAGTGTACCGCAAGTGCGTCAAAGTCTTTTGAGATGAAACACCGACTACTTGACAATCAAGTGTTGAAACCGTCTAGCAAGTCCTCATTCACCTCACAGCTTAAACTGCAGTAGACCAAACTATCAGCTCTTGCCCGTTTCATTTCAAGCGGCAACTAACTAATTTACACTTCCCACTTCCATGGGATATGTTACCAATAACGGTCAGTGGGATATTATTTCCAATGAATAAATTTCTGACCCCCTTAATTTTGTACATTCTGCAGTATTGGGTTCCTTTCGTTAGATTTAAATACTATCTTTAGCAGCCTGGATTGTTTCTGTTTCAAGTTCACTTGGTTGTCTAGTCTACAAGCCCTTAGCAAGGTGACTCCGGAGACACCCTGTGGCTTTAGCTGTATTAGTATCTGCTTTATCAACTCAATATTGTGCTCAAAACGAGTTTTCGGTTCTGAGCTTTCACTCTCCTTGACTCTATAAAAAATAACCTGCATGTTACCATGATCAGTCTTCGATTTCTCAGCTAATTTTTGAGGGAATGGCTTTTCTTAAGTAGCATCATGTCGTTTCTTATTCTCGGTCTGTACCCAATCAACTTTTGTCAGAGAAGCAGCTACAGTCGCGTCACACAAACACACCGTGAGATCCGGGGTAATTATCAACGATTTCGGTGGTCAGATTTTTGTTTCTCTTGATAGAAACAGACCTAGTCTTAAGGTTAGGTCTTCAAGGTACTCATCACTGCAGTGGCTTCGGATAGTAAGCTGCTTGTGTTCAAGCAGCATTGCTGACAACCACACGCAACCTTTTTTAATAAACCGTCTGAAAGCCTCAGGCATTAGATTCGTGCAAACTCAGTAGTACCATCCACTGCGTTCATCGCACCGAATGCCGCTTTCCATAGGGTATCGACAGCCTTGGGGTTACCAAATGCTTTTTTCCCAAGCTCACAATTTTGGGGAAATCTCCAAAATGAAACAGCCTTCCCCAACGTTTGGGGAAATTTCGGGGTTTTTGTGCCATTTCCCCAAAGTTCACTACTGCGGCTTCCCCAAAATTGGGAGCTTGGGCTTGAACTTTCCAATCATCAATCAGAAGTTTTCAAAAAGAAAATGGACACGAACAATACACAGAGATCAACGAAGCTGATGACCAGAAAAAAAAGTGAAAAACTAAAACGTAAGAACCAAAAGGGCAAACAAATACAAAGAGAACCAATGAACTCAAAAGTCATATGACTTTACATATGTAAATAACCAATACCATAAAATTAATTCAGCGAGGAAAAATAACATCGTCCTTTCTAAATAGTAAACATCACTAACTTCGTTACTTTACTCAAAGCTATTGTAATATTCATGGATCGATCCACGATCTTTAATAAATTGTTGGGTCATATAAACATCCAAGCGCGCAGTAACACATCCAACTTTGAGTTGCAGTAGTCGCCTTCAGACAATCTGATAATTGAAACTAGTAGTTGATAGAGTAAGTTTTCGAACACTTTACACGCGGTGCAAACGACTAGACAGACAGGCCTGTCTGTTTTGCTTTTAACTACTTTGAGCGATCAGTCTGTGAAAGTTCAGTGATAATATATATTCAGTATCGTGGTCTGTAGCCTGTATAGATCGACTGATTTCTTTGCTATCGCTTCGTGTTGTTTCCGTACGGTTCAAGGTATTCGGTAATGTACAATTAATGGTAGTCCAGCCATTAGGCTGCACTAATTTTAACTAGTTTGATAGTGGGTTGTCATGCATACCTTCACAATAGTAATTTGTTGACTTGTATGTCATGTTGTTCAGATGAGTGCGCTTGTCTCAGGGTATTATAGTTTCTAGAGTCCAGCAGCTATCACATTACCAGGCAGGAGGCTGGTTGGTTTCAGCGTAAAAAACAACTGGATGTTAATTCAAGTGTTCAGAGATGAAAATTATTTCAAGGATAAACCAATACGTTAGTTGGTTGGTAATCCGCATGTGAGTGCGTGTTTGTCAACATACGCCTGTTACACCTTGTAGAGGAACATCTGCTGCCCACAGGCATTCTCCATTCAATTCTGTCCTGATCGATCCTTTTCAGTTGTTTCTAGTTGTTATTCATCCCTTTGATGTCTACTTCCGATTCCCGACGCAGTGCATCCTTTGGTCATCCTCTTTTCCTTTTGCCTTCAGGATTCCAAATTAGAACTTCCTTCGTGATGTATTTTAATCATATCGGATTACATGTCCTATTTACCTTTATCGTCTTTTCCGAACTCTCTACTTATCTGGTTTGTTCCCCACCACTTTGTCGGCGCTTGCTCCTCCCTCCGAATCTTCCTGATTAGAACGTAGAGCATGTTTAACGTTACCTCTATGTCTAACCCTAGTGCTTCGGCTGGTATATCGTCTAATTCTGCTGTTTTCTTACTCTTGATTTGTCTGGTGGCCATCCCAATGTCTTCAATCGTTGGTTGAGCGACATCTAAAGGAAGGTCTGTGTGTGCTTCGATGTCCGGTGGGTCAATGGAGTTGGTCTACTCAAGAGTTCCTCAAAGTGTTCTACTTATCTTTTCCTTTACTTTTAAACCTCTGGCTTACCATATTTCCCCGCTAGTTCTACCATTGCATCATATAGTTATTTCATATTTCCTTCTCTTGTAGCGTTTTCCTTTGTCGTTGCTAGTTCTTCCACGTACTTTTGCTTGTCAACTCTCTCTTCTTCACTCCCTTATTTGTTTCTCTGTATTCAACTTTATCCTTGACTTTCTCTGTCCTAGTTCGGTTGTTATTAATTGTTGCTTTCTTATTCTTCATTCCTTGAATCTTGTATGGGTTTTCCTTAGAAATCCATTCCTTATAATTACGCTTCTTGAGGCCCAAAACCTCCTGACACATTGAAGTTAGTACTTCTTTGATTGCTTTCCAATTGTCCTCCATAGTAGCTTTTTCTTCTCTCAGTAGATGTTGTAAGACTTAAGACTTGTTGATAGTTATCTTGAATTGCCTGCGTTTGTGAGTATCTCGAACGTGGACCGTATTTAACCTTTGTACTGCTGTTTTCCTAGTTGTCTGATGCTACTTTGGCTTCAGTTTCACCTTGGCAACCGCCAAACGACGATCTGAAACTATCTCAGCTCTCCTCCTGATTCTTACGTCTTCCGCGAATCTTTTAAATATTTTAGTGATGCAAATATGACCTATCTGATTCTTCGTGGTGTGATCCGTTGAGACTCATGTAACTATGTGTATGCGTTTCTGTAGAAATATTGTACGACCTATAATCATTTTTTCGAATGCGCATGAATTTCCAAATCTCTCGCCATCCCCATTTCTTTTATCATAATCCATGTCATCACATAATAACGTTTGTTATTCATTCCGACTTTGGCATTTAGATCTCCTGTTAGGATTGTTAGGTCCTTTCCTGGACACCTCGCTATGATCAATTGCAGTCTCTCGTAGAATTGATCTTTATCGTCGTCATTGCTATTATCGGTGGGTGCATAACATTGGATAATATTCATCGTGATTCCCTCACTCCTTGTTTTGAAGGATGCTTTGATGATTCTGGGTCCATGAGATTCTCACCCATCACAGCAGCTCTCTGAGTGTGTGGAGCATTTTCCTCTTCGTGACAGGGGTTCAACAGCATCGTTCATGTATCTAATCTTTGCTGTCCAGTTATAGTCCAATGGGTTTCGCTGATTCTGAGCACTGCCAAGTTATTATTCCTCATTTCTGTTGCTATTTGACTTGTCCTCCCAGTCTCCCCCATTGTCCGGACGTCCCATGTACCTATAAAAATGTTTGTTAGAAGGGGCATCAGTCTTGGCTTTCATCACGATGCGTCATAATTCTTGCTTCAACTCGGAGGGCAGAGTTTAAATGGTTTAATTTGTTCAGTCCGGTTGGCGTTTTTAACAAGATTTTGTTGTACGATATGAGGTTGCCAATCCCATGCTCAACCTCCCTCTTTTATATGGGCTTGGGACCGGCAGCAGCCGTGAACGAGCTACGGACGTAGTTGCGGGATTATCAAGTCTCCTCCCAAGTCTATATACCAAGAGGGTTTTGGTCACTTCGACCGGAATAGCATTCCAAACAGTTGCAGCTCTTTATGAGAGAAAGTGGGAGTGTACCTGGGCTCTTGCTCTTTCATATGGAATCTTTCAGTGGTTACCTCGAGCAACATGGTGATGATATTATAGCAATATGTTTGTATTGTATTATGTTAGCATAATCTGTATGTTTTATGCTATTATCTGATCACTTCTCATCCTCTTGTATTTCAACGAGAATAATCTTAAATGCTAGAGCATGTCTTTGTAAGATTTATGCTTAAGATTTTATTGACTCTTTATCTGACTTCCGTCTAATCGTTTGTTGACTGTTATCGAAATATACACCTCGCAAACCCTCATATAATTTTATCAACTTAATTCGCATTTGAGAATAACAGAATAAAGTAAGCAAAATACGGGAATGAACCATGAATACGTATATTTCGCGTGCTCATCGATCTGAACGGACAATCAGAAAACGAAGTGAAGCGCAGCGCCAAAGACGCGTGAGCCATTTCATTTTGATTAGACGTTGATCGATATTTGTGGTCAGTCAAAAATAAATTACAGAAATATGATGAATAGAGTGAACAATTAATACATATACGCCCATACAAAAACGGTTAGGATTAATAAACAAAGTTAAAACGTGGCTCCAGAGGAATGAATAAAGTGAGCTGTCCAGACGCTAGAATAAGCTATGTGAGCTTGACAGTACTAGCAACTATAAAATTTGTCACCGTATCACTTAATTGCTCGTCTGTTCTGAGAGGTTTATGTCTCTTTTGAAGATAGAGGGTGTAATAAAACTGCAAATATCAAGGCCGGGTTGCGTGTACGTTTTAAAGAGAGTTGCGAACAACTCCGTCATAATTGTGCTAGGTTGTCTTCTCATAAGGTGAAGAGTTGTTTATGCCATGGCTTCATCTCCTTTGTGGTTAGACGGGGTGTCCAAGCTCCCTGAGGTTACTAACGTGAGGAGACAATCATGAGTGGATTCCCTGGAAGAATGCAAGTTCGTTGTATCAGATGAGGCGGAATGTTTACAACATGATATTTCGATGGCTTAAGCTTTAACCCATTGTTTGCTGTCCATTCCTATGTTGCTTTAAGGTCCAATTTACGCTCTGATGAATCCTTCTTGCTTTTTATGGACCGCTAGATATTTGCACCATCTGATTTCATATAGGAGGCCAACATTTAAGATCTAAAACAAGAGTGAACCTTTGCTAAACTACAGGTGTTGAGGCCCGTCAATTCACATGCACTCTATTTACCTTGGTACGAAACATCCTGCTATCTAGGTGGTTTTGGAGCAAGGACATAAGTGGTTCTACGGAATCTATCTTTGCAACAGAATACTTAAAGACTATGGATTGAAATCTGTCGTGTCCTGGTCACTTTCCCAGGTGCAAGAATTTTAATTTTCTTGGTACCAACCCGGGACGTTCCTCAAACCCTTCACTAGAAGTGTAGTTTAGGAGTGTTTCTCATTTGAAGGCTATATGTTTGTGAAGTTGGTTTTACAGATCCCTGAATCACTTCACCCTTTCAGAACACAACTTCTCTGGTTTGCGGGGCTCCTCTTGATCAAGATAGTGGAAAGACATTTAGGGTAGCTTGCATTTGGATCGCTAGCTCGGCCCGAAATCATCCGTCGCTTTACACTTTGGCTGTGCATCCGTTTCTCAGTCAGGAAGACTTTCCACTTGTGTTTTGACTCTTCTTTTGGCCTATAGCAGGCGTTGTGTTGCTTGCTTAATATAGATCTCTTTTCAGGTGCGCGCTTCGCCTGAGAAACATTGTGTAAGATAGTATTCTGAATGTTATCTATTACTATCTCCCAACGGTCATCCACTGTTAGCCTCCATCTCTCTCATGGCCTCGGGGCGTGTTGGGGATGCTCCTTCACCTTCTTGTAGTCTATCTTGACATAACCAATTTGGGGAGCGTTCTTGTCTGTCAGAAGTATATCATCCGTTACCACGTCAAACATGACTGTACCCGGGTCGACACTCCTATCGGTGTGTAAACATGAACATCCTCAACTGGAAGATGATTATTGATCAGCGAATAATCTAAGTTTGGTGTGTTGCGTCCCTACTCCATCTCGTAATATCACCAGCAAGCTCAGTCAGTCCTGAGCTTTTAATGACTTTAGTGAGCCGCTTATGAAACTGCATTGTGAGGGCTGTTTCCTCTTCACTGAGAAATAACGACGGAGTGTTAAGGTCTTCAGCTTATGGTATTTGCTCAAACCCGGAGTGCGATAGCTCTAGAAAAGCCTGGATTATCTCATCTTTTTAAATAACAATCTATGGGGGCTGGTTTATTCTTTCAATCAACTTTTTTGTGTTGTTCTCATTGAATAATCACCAGCACGGCTGTCGCCTCAATTAATACAGTACTGTGTGGTATTACAGCTTTTAAGCGACTTATGGTGTATATCGACAATCCACCTCCTGTCCTGTATCATGCCACGTAAGCTAACTTCGTCGCCTACTCAAGATCTTATAGAATCTAAAAATGGCTCCGATAGCGTCGACAAGAAAAAGGAAGAGAGCCATTTGTGTATCATAATACTGTTTTAGCACTATATTTTATGACTACAAATATTCCCATACTCTCAGTTTCTTTCTGAACCACCTCAATTTGTCAGTTGTTCATCCACTCATACCTTGTTTACACTTATTTTCTTCAACCTAATAGA